TATGAGGTCGTAAAGGAGCAAATCAAGGGGGTCTTTGCGGTGATAATGTGTGTGTGTGTGTGTGTGTGCACAGACAAATGAGACGGTTAGTGAGGGTAGGGAAAGGTGCGTGACGTGAATGGGGATAGAATGGAAAATGGTGAGTCTTAGAGAGAGGTTTGACATTCTTGGTGGAATGGGGTTGAGAGGGAGACAAGAGGATAGAGTAGATCTTGGAAGTGATGCTAACGCCAATATTTTACTGCCTACTCCACCCAGATCTAAAGAAGTTTTCAACTGCCAGAAAATTTGGTGCTCCTGCAGAGAATGTTTCAGTGGCTAAAAAGTGTGGGGGAAAAGGCAGAAACGGTCAGCATTCCTGCTATTTTCCCTTGACTTCTACTGAAAGTGATAGAAAATAATGTTGAACATTTACAGAAGTTGCATAATACCGCCGTCAGTACTGCCTACTGCAACTACACATCGTATATTTCAGTCTGCAGCCGGGAAAACAGGCAAAGATGAATCAACAGAGCAGCTTCAACTAAAAACACGAGTGCTTTTACTCCGAATCACTACAGGAATCAGAGCTAACACCTGTTCGAGGGCGAAGGCAGGTGGAAAATGCGGTCATTCAACACTGCAGACCGGAGCAGTGCTACGTAAATGGCGCACTGCAATATAGAACGAAAGTAGAAGCCTGAACAAGCCTTAGAAAAAGGAAAGCAATCCAACTCACATCGTGTCAATTACTAAGAGCGTCGACATCAGAGCCCCGAAACACTGTATGCACACCTACAAGAGTATAGTGCAAACAACACAAGCTGCGGTAAATGCGAGTTGAGGCAGAATTTAATTGCCAACGCCTTTTCCCAGTGGTAAGCGACGATCACAGTCGCGAAGCTGCTTGTACTGGTACGATACAAGTCGATTTGACAGTTAAACAGACCGGATATAAACGCACATATAGACCATATTAACCAAATTGCATCCACAGCAAACAGACAAATGAAAGTAATTTAATAGTGTTCTAGACATTAGGTTGCTTCATCATAGCCCACATGGCGCATAACTGGGTGGATTGCATAGGTAGAGGATGCTTCATATTTGGCTATCCATAAAAAGTTCCACTGATCAACTTTAACAAAATAACTCCCAACTCCTCCATTGGAATTTAGGTGTCTACCATGGGATAACAAATTAATTATCTTCTACGCTTCAAGTCAACCTCATCCCTATGTTTCTCTACGGAGTAGATTTTTTTATTAGATTTTACTTTTGAGGAAATGGAAGCGTTGATAAACTAGTAGTTGATTTGGAAAAACCAGCAGAATTGTGTGAATTTTCAGCAGAAAGGAAACTACGATTAACAGTAAAAGAATGGCAGCATTAGCTCTGCGCAAAGGATCTGGATTTAAGCCATTTTGTTATCAAACAGTCGATGTTTTAATATGGAAGGAAGTTTGCTGAAGAATGAGAAGAAATCGAACGTAAAGCAACACAAGGTAAATCCAAATGCCAAAGAGACACTTATCAACACCAAAGCTTACTTGGTTAAACTATGCTGACACAAAATATCAAATGAAAGCAAAGTGGAGGAAATACACAAAACGCCTTGACTACAATTAGATCTAGATGGTTCAGACTACAGTCCACCCACCCTTGGATTAGCTGATTGCATCACTATATGCCCCTACCCTTAAAAACAGCCACATTTCAATGGGAGGTGGGGAATTCTGCCTAAGAACTTTTGGGTTAGGACAAACATCACAAAGATTATTTTGAACAAGGCGTAGAAAGTTCAAAAGAAGATTTCCCAGTCAACTGACCTAGTCACATTTTCAATCCGCTTAAAATATGCTTCCGAATTAGGAGGTAATTTAAGTAAAAATAATGTAATCAAACGTGCCTGATTACATTCGGCATTGTGTCGGGTAGCCCTCGTCACTGACACCTCAGCACAGCTGCTTCTGATCTTTGTGCACATGCATGGGTTCAAAAATACACTCGAGGACGCAGAAAATCTTCCCATTTAGGAAACTTACAAAAGATAAATGCATAAATACACTTGTTTCGTTAAAAAGCCAATAAGGTAACAGTGTAGCCAAATTGACCGTTTCCTAGGAGTGGTGTATCGTGAAAGTCATACCAACTGCCAAATCCGTTGCGTTCTAACAACAAAATCAGATCCTGAGATGTGGCTTTAATGAGGGATAAGGAAGTAAAGGCGCTGTTGAAGAAACTTAATGCCTCTAACTCAAGCTACATTTGGCTTAACGTTATAACACACCAATGTAACAAATTGGTAGCTTTGACGCGCACATTTTTTGATTAATTGGTGTAACGCTTCTACAAGGCCATCACACTGTAGCAGGGTGGTTGTTCTTTCAATTAAATATTTAGCGATATAAACCTTTCGGTCCTCCTTGCTTCGGTGACTACGATGCCATGATACTACTCGGCTACGCATTTATGGCCTTCATTGGTGACGCGTGCTCTACAGCAGCTAAGACGGAAAGATGCATTTAACTTATTAGAGTTGAATGTGAAGAAAATGGCGTCACGTCAAAAATTCGTTGCTGTGCACGAAAAAGCCCTCGCACAAATGGCGAAGAGATGTTTAGATGACTCAACTATTACCAATGCATAGCATATTTTCTAAATTGAACAAGAAATAGGATAAATCGCATCAACCAATAAACGAAACGCCGAATTCAGCGATCTACAATTCAGTAATCTAAGCCATCACTTAACCCAACACACAAATACGGAGCTTTGCTACAAGGATTTCACAAAAACGAACTCAAGGACAGACCGTAAAAGGGAATAAGGAGGGAGATTACGTCTAGGAGTACCAGAAAACCCTCATCTACATCAACAAATAGACTAAAATAAAGACCCTGGATTTAAAATTTTAATACACTTACTACGCAGACATAGATTGCTGAGAAACCAGTTGTTCTAAAGAGTTTTTACACAAATGAATAATGCCGAGCATTTGAGTAGTGGACTGAAAAAAAGAGTAGATGATGCTAGCAAAAGATCCACCTCTTATTCAAGGACCAGAAAGAGAAGCAGATAAATCAACCATTAAGGGAATATAAATTCTGGCCAAAACAGTCGCTCCCATTCATGTGTCATAAAACTTTTGCAGGTCTAGCGAAGAGGAATTAAAGCTTACTTTTTATCAGGTGGCTTAAACAAGGCTAAATAAACCCTAAAAGAGGACCCGAAATGGCTTTCTAGTGTGGCAGAAAAATTTGGACAGCTAAAATTCTTTTTAGATCAAGAAGTTACGAGTATGAAATCCAAATAACCACTGCCAAGAAACGAATGAATACTGACTCACCGCCTCTGTAAGATACTTTCCGATCCCCGCCAGTGGCATAGTAAGCTCAAAATGCGCCACCAGATTGTCAATAAGTTCAGGATAGTTGTGCAGCAGACAAGCCAACTCCTCTTGCTCCACGTAATGTAAATCACAATAGGTTAGAGCACGCACGATAAAGCGAGACTTAGCGGTAATGAGGCCGCAAGCCATTGCTGTCAGCACGTGCTGAGATCGTTTTTGAAGGGGTGGAAGACCGCCGAAGAAATCGCCTTTTGAGAGGACCGCAAGAATGGCGCCGTCTTGGGGATCAAGTACCTCCAGACTGCCCTGTTCCACGAAGTAGAGGCAAGTGAGGAGACCTCCCGCGTGAATGAGAGTGTCTCCTGGGGGGAGATGGACTGTGCGGATGCGAAGAGCAAAGGTCCGGAGGCAGCCTTCCGTGAGACCTGCGGAAAGAGTTGTGATGAGAAAAAAATACATAGATTTGTGCGGCTACTCTACATACTGACATAAAAATGGTAACAGAAGGTTATTTGAGAGCGGCTCAAATACGGTGTCGACGGATCTACTATAAGACAAAAATCTTGGCTCGAATGATTGCATCCCAAGTTTGAAGACCATAAAAGATAGCGATTTGTTGTGAAGGAATACATTGGTGACATTTCGACTACTGTTCCAAAGTTGCGGCATAAGTGACGGCAAAAAAAGGAAGCTAGATTGGAACAAAACGAGATTACTGTTGAATAACTTCTTAACAATTACAGCTTTGAAATTGATGGATGGAAGTGGGTGAAAACCTATGTGGCTTTGGGATGACACTTTGAGCCGTAAACTTTATTGTATTCGAATGAACCTTTGTCCACTAAAAGGGGATCGCCATTTACCTATGCACTCCTTGTAGGACAATGACCAGCCCCATTAAAATGTGACAAATGACTAAAGTCAGAAGCCTGATTTCCTCGCCAGCGATTGCAAATCGATAAAGGTTATTTGTTCCTTTCAATTCACTCGGCTGCCACCGCCACGCCAAAAGTCGTCAAGATATAATAGGACACGGGCAAAAACCGAACATAGAAAGGTGCATAAAGGATACTGTAAGCTTTATTTAACTGCACTTTTGATATCCACCAGCGTAGTGTTAGTAGAGTGAAAGTTTGTCTTAAATGTCTCAGTTATTAACCAAGTTCATTAAAGTTGCCACATGCACGAGAGTGCACTGAAAGCTGTCCAAAGCTGAGGGTGAAGAAGAATACTAAGTCTATAATGAAATTTAGTTTTGTCAGGAAAACACTCAAGAGTAACAACCTTGTGTTTATAAAATCGCGAGACTATCCAAAAGTCCATTTTATCAACTGTTATGAAGTGGTGCGTCATGCAACAAGAGCTTGAAATGAAACAACAAAAATCTTTTTGAGGTAGCCACTCATAAAATATGCAACAGAGCAGAGGTCTAATCCATTATTTTGAAAGGTAAATTCTCTTCTTGCCTCTTTTTGAACAATTTTCGCACGAATCCAAGTGAATCCACAAAAAAAAAAATTTAAGCTGAGTTTGAACGTGAGATTGAGCTTTACAAGCACTCGTGACCCAATCCGGTGCCAAAACGCCTTGCCCATGGCATACATTCCGGTCAGCTTTTAATCCAGAGCTACTTCGAAATTCGCAGCCCTGATAAGTCTTCAGAAGGAACTATAGTTTTGCTGAAAGAGCCACTGGACATGTGACAAATGCACAATGCGAGGATAGACTTTTAAGAGGTTACCTTCCTCCATCAAATGAACTGCACAAAGGCATTTGGAAGCATTCTACCATCAAAGCAAACCAGTCGAGGTTGTAACCAAAACAGCATTCATGCAACGCACCCTTTAGACTCCTTTACGGTGAATCAAGCCAAACAGTGTCTTTCGGGAGAGTAATCATGGACCTAGGCGAAAATCTTGGCATCACTAATTTCTCATACACATAAAAATTGCAATATTTTGCTCTAAAGCCTGCCCATAAGAAGATTCAATTTGCTGTTGCATGACAGCATTGAAGATTGTATTAACTCCAGAAAACAAACGCGTACAAAGGGCAGTTGTTACACTTTATGCAAATGAAAAGTCGCTAGAAGTGAAATTAATTCGTTGTTGAGATGCACAACGATGGTGCAACTCATTTTCACTACAAAATGATTGTGGCATGGAGTAAAGTTCAAGGCAAATCTATCCAATTTTCTAGAAATTCACACCATCCTTAAACGTCAACGACTTGTAAGAAGGGCACACAACAAGAAGAATGATAGAAGCTGAGCGGCAAAAACACAAGTGACCGAAAATACATCCTCAATCGCCTTTCGGGATAGCGGAGGAAGCTGCAATTAAGACTGAATTCATCCCGACAGTAGACTCCCGCAGCCCGTACAAAATCAGTAATTTAGTGTAAGACTTTTAAGGATATGGCAAACGACAACTTAAACTTTTGCAAAATGGAGGAAGATTATTAAAGTAGTTGGAGGGACGGTAGAACAGCGTAGAATTCATATGGCTGTCGAAGTGTTGTTAAGTATGCAAGCAAGGTAAGTTCCATGCATGGGAAAAAAATAGTTAGCAACTTGGTCTTATATCCCCAAATTCGTTTACGTGACTTTCCTTCATCACTACACGATAACCGGCCACAAGAAATTACACGTCTCAAACAGGTCGGTCAATTTTAAAGCAATGCAGTAGGTGTGGAACTTGCTTATGGCAAAGATGGTCGCATTTCTACTCAAAACAACTTCCATAGACTTTGTGGAGGACCACAATGAATAGTGTTGTTTGAAGCCTATGAGATCGGCAATCGCACCGTTCATGAATAATGAAATACATTGCCCGTTGCCTTAAGAAAAGGCAAGAGTCTTACATCAGCAGTGTTTCGTGATGTTGAGAGAAAACCTTCTATAATCGGTGGCCAATAGCAAACCTCTCCAATAATGTTGTCAAAATGATGGTAACACAGAATTCTGGATTGAAGACATTTACACAGATTTGTGGAAGAGGAAGTGGATAAATCCACGATGAGAACTTGCCGATTCCTGCCAATGTAGCTATCAAAAACTGAGAGATTGGGAAGTGCTTCACGTAAAAGAGCTAAATTCGGATGTACGGAAGCCAAGACAAATGTGCCAACCAGAAGTACAAAAGGAAGTACTATTTCCTCTGCACGCCAAAAAAAATCACAAATGTCACCCTAATTAGGGTACGCTGGAAAGCGAGTGAGAAGGAAAATGAAGTGATAAAGTGATTGGGAGTCCAAAGCGCAAATTTGCCTCAAAGTCGACCACGAAATGGGGATGAGAGTAAAAGTGCACCATTCAAGTATGATAGAAAAAGAATCAGAAGAGGAATAAAGGACCCTAGCTGTAGAATGTGGTGTTGGTTTAGTCTAACGATGACCGTAAATGGAAAAAGCTCATAAGAAGCCAACGAGAAGATGAAGCAATAAATATATACGGAGAAGAAATGCGAAGCTAACGTTTTACTTTAGAGGTCTTAGACCAAGGATGACACAGAACAACACTGTAATTGCTTTATGATAATACTCTGCATTCAGTATGTAAAAACCAAAGTCGAATGAGAACGTTTCAGTCTTAAAAAGTATAACGCACTCTCTTGCGCCTGATTCAGCTTCATAGACAATATCAAGGTCAAACAACGTTGATTCCGCCCCTAACCTCCACTGTCACAGATGCTCCAACTCTCTTACCTGATCCCGATGCCATGAAACTGGGATATGCATTTCGCATACCTAAAGATAATCGGCTGTACTGAACCGTAATTCACAAGCAGATTGAATGAACTGTAGACAATAAAGTACTACTAGTAGCAGAAGGTTGTTAATCGGAGAGGCAGTAAAACTTGTTTAGTTCTTAAGTGGCAATCACAGCAATAAAAATGTACTCAGAAGTGGTCAGTTTCTCCTTGAAACGTCTAAAACAAAAGAACAATGCTTGGTCTACACTTCTATCTTGTATAAAGAATGTCCTTCCCTGTGGAAAACATTATTGAATTTGGGAATTCCTCGCATCGAGATCTGATAGTTTAATAAGAACAAAGTGAATCCCGCAAGCAACGAATAATCGAGGCACAAACGACTTTTTTTAAGAATAAGCAGATGACATGAGGGTGATGTCAGAAGTGAAGTACGCACATATTCCGGAGGTTGGATTCTAACTAGTTTTGAATGATTAAATTTAGGAACAGTCTCCCAATGAATACTACTTGAATGTTCACAGGCATACCAGTGCCAACACATTCCGTACTTGCGTGCATAAGTGCAAAGTTCGAACAAGACTCCACCATCTCAGAACATCTTGTGAAGGTGATGGAGCTCAGTCAATGATAGCCAAACCAAACCTTTCAAAAACCTCGACTCAATCAGCATCGATTGTGTGACTGTAGGCGGTTTCTCTCAACTTTTAATTTCTTTGTTTAATTGTGCAGCAGGAAACATGCAGACCTGAATGTATTCAGACCGGATCCATAGCCTGGGCAGCAAACACAGTGACATAGTACAACGCAATCCAGTGGAACATAAGTTCGAACATTGCTGGAATATGAATTTGGCAAAATGCGCAATCAACCATCAAATTATTCGATTTATGACACTGAAACTGAAAGCAGATGCTTCACTAGCGTTGCTCATCTTGCGCAAAACACCGAGAAAGTTTAGTCTGCAACATTTAAGTTTGAATCTCTTTCACATGCAAACTTGATAAAAAGAGAAGACCGCTTTCCCCTTCATCTCTTTTCCAATCGTGGAATGCAATGTGGCTTTATTTGCGCGATTTTTGTGGAAAGTTGGGGAGGGGAGTAGGAGGGGGAGAATATGATTAGACGATAGCAACTCCTGGCCTGACAGACACAATTCTATTTAAAGCATTTTCAGAGCATAAATCGGACTGAGAGCCATAGAAAAGCGCTAGTACGATATTGCTTGAGGAGGACATATTCAAGATACCTAAGCCTAACACTGCTTTGCCTACCTTTGACCTTCTTAAAGAGACGATAAAACAAAGTAATTGCAGGTGTGATGACATACATGTTCCAAATTCTACACCACATGGGTAATTCTCTGAGGCACTTAGGATTTATAAAGAAACCGTTTCTGTCAAGCAGTGACATTAGAACAGGTCGGCTTCACTTTCCGTTACTAATGCCACAGAAATCAGGATACCCGCGATTAGGAGAACGGCGTTACATACAGTAACAGTATAACTCACAGTTCCAGAAAAAAAACCATAATTGAAAAGATTGGGTAAAGGACTTTCGCAGGAGTACTGCTATTCGCCATTATTGGAAGACCACGCAGGAAATCCTCGTAATTTAGAACGACTACGGCACAATCCTTCAAATTAAGGCGCTGTTTGCAGTTTGCACATTTCACTCAAGCGGATCGCTAGTCTACAAAATACCCGAACAAAGTACTTTCACATGAACACTAAACGTGCGGACAGTTGGAGCGGGAGATGTCCTCCCTAGACCCCTCCACAAACCAAGGCACAAGCGCAAGAAAAGCTCAATTACTGTGCCGGTGCGTCTGTCGTAGGAGCCATTAGGCATCATCAGATCATCTAGGGGACCAACAGCTACGACGTAAAAGGAAAGGCTCCCAAAAAGTTCCTCATTCTTTAACAGGAAACCACATGCATTCATGAAGAAGGAGACCCAGGTGGTGCATATGGAAGCCCCAAATGCACAAATGACGTAACATACGCACACACATACAAACGCCCACATTTGCATATAGGAGTAAACAAGCATAGGTAATATTTCATCAAGTGAATAAACAGGCGAGAAATGATTTATCTCACCAATATGAATCCAATCAGATTAATAGCAATGAAAGAAGTTTAAGCATGTTAGATTTGCCTAGCCCATGACAATGACTAGGCGGTAGAAAAGAAATACCATCGTCTTTATGATACGGTCTTAAACTGTTACATCGTAGTGATCATATCGTAATGGAGACATTTTAGCTGAAACATACATGCACGAACTCTTCGTCGCATTACCAATGAAAATCTATTAGGATTCCTCTAATGTGTAAATAAATCTCAGAGTTAACACAGTTCAACACAGGATGATCAACCAATCTGAAGTAGCAACGCTTTTGGATTAATATGAAGGTGGTCGCAAAAGCATGCCATCAAGTAGTTGTCGCGGTGACTAAATCCCGCACTTTGCCTTTTGACATTTATGAAGAACGAGGCAAAAGTGCAATGACAACAACAACAAGGTAAATCAACAGACAGATTACCGATGACATCATTATCAAAGGTTCGTAGGAAAAAGTCCCCATGAATTCCATTGAAAAAAAAACATTACTCCTTACAAAGTGAATGGTACCGAGAAAACCAGAGACAGTGAAATTCCTATCTGCATTTGGCTCCTGAAGAACATGAGGAGATTAATCTAAAATACCATTTGAAGTTGAGTGGCGGAGCCTAACACGGAGTTCTTCCGATAAGACACAAATTTCTTTGAAAGAGAAACCCATCGGCATGAGTTAAGCTACCACTGCAGATGTTTTTCAAGTAGATTAACGTTGCATTCTGACATAGCTGCAACTAGCGTTGCAAATGCGTTTCAAGACTTCCACCCCTAAGCTCGCATACCCCAATATATTCAGTACATTCAGATACGATTTGGATGAAATAAGTGGAATGAACAAAAAGAGAGAACGAGAGAGTCAAACAAATAACAGCTGCTATAACAGTACGACGATCCTGGTAGCGGATTCGAGATTCTAGAAGGTTGCAATAGCTAATCTACGATAAACGGGATTCTAATACGCAAACTTACTGGGTAAAAGATACGTTTGTGAGTAAGGCTACCAGCAGCAAGTTTTGATTAGGAGGCTCCCTCCGGATGACGATTTAAATTTTCTTTAATACCAAAAAATTTTCAGAATTTTCAATTTTTTTCAGGAGAAAATTTTGTCGCCGACTTGAGCAATGATAAAGGATAAAGTTAGTATGGACCTAGAAAAAACGTCTTAAAAGGGCTTCTCACTAGCCCGACTGTTGTCTTTGCTCTCAATCGACACAATCATGGCAGATTCCACCATAATAGGCCTCATTTTTTCAATAGCATCGAAAGAGCTTTGCATATTATCTATGCTCACAACATTCGGGCTCTTTAACAGAATTGGCTAGGATGGAAAACTACCAGGACAAAATGAGAAATAAGAATTCTGGAAGAGAGGATTTGACCTTTCAAACCACTTTTGAGGTTTTGAAGTAAAGAGAGTTTCAGAGCAATTACACTGACATGAGAACAGGTGAGTTAACATGGCATAAGTATCTAGCGCCGATTGGTGCCGAACGCAAAGTAAGATGGCAAACTGCTCGCGAAAAGACGAAAGCGACGATCGACTGATAAATGTCAGCCAAATCTACCCCTCCCTCCTCAGCACATGCAAAAGAGACTGCCGCCTCCTCCATCTGCTGCTACTTATCGCAGGTGCTGGAGCCATAAAAGCGGCCGCTTTGAGGCAAGGGCGCGGATGGGAATTCTACAAAGCGGGCTCTAACAGAAGGCAGCAGCATCGTGCTCAGCTTATGGCTGCCAAGACGCCACAACAGAGAGGGCCGCTAGATAAACAATCAGCAATCACATAACCGTCACAGCCCAACCAAATTCCCTCTATCCCCCTTCCTTACCCCCACACATTGTACCACGTGACAGGCAGAGAGACAGAGGAGTTGATCAGGTTGAGAGAAAACATATTTAACTGAAAAAATGTTAAATTGAAAGCATCTTAACTCTCAGTTCTCAATTACCATTGTTATGGTTAGACTCGGCTACCCGACTCAGTCGATGTTCTACTGCCTTGAGGTGACATTGAAATTCTGAAAACCTTTAAACTAGAAAGCTGGGAGTGGGAATGGAGGCCGCAAGTGACAACATTTAGGGTTGACGTCTGTCAATAGCCTGATTGGGATTCCATAAATCGGTAGACTAAATCCCATGAATTTTGAAAAACTGCATTATTTCTCAAGCTCTTATGAATGTACGGAAACATCTTGATGAGGTTTCGGAGAATACAGCATAGACAAAACAAAATTGTCCAATTAATGTTGAGATAAACAAATAACTGTGTTTTATTGAGACTACCCGCTGGATGAATTCGATCCATGTCAGCTTCATTTGATAATGGGCCATATCATAGCCTGCTAACAGCCCTCGACAGCAGCACGACTCAACAAACATGTAATAAGCAACCTCTGCCATGAAGGGGTTTGGGAAATGCGATTCCACAAACGGTGAAAACCAGTTACCTCATCAACGCCATGATTTCTGATTGGACTGCTACGTGATTCAAATCATAACATCTACATTTATAGTCTTCAATTGCCGATCTGGTGTTTTAGGGGCGCTTTGGTGGCCTGATAAACATTCTTTCCATGTATTCCACCATTCAATCCCAAAAGGGACACACCAACACGTCTCACATCTATTCTACTGCATAGTCCAAACAATGCCATCAAAGATTCCGGTCTTCACTCTTAAAGATTTATTTTTCTGCTTAAATAAGTCATGAGAATTTAACTAGAGGATGGCCTTATTAAAAAATGGACACTAATGAGAAGGCAAGCCAGATATTGATGAGTTGTTTCCTACGACTTCCGGAAATGAACCGAAGCAAACAGTTGAATATGCTTCTTACATGGCCTTTGCTCACTCAGGTGAAAACATTCCAGCTAGTTGAAAAAGTCAGATGATGAATCAGTCTGCAATGACTCAGGTTAGACCATTCACTACTCTAGCCCCGAGACATCCATATTTTGATGTGGCTCGAAAGTCGGAGCGGGTAGAGATAATATTTAACAGTCATTGTTTCAAAGGTACGTGCTAAAGATAAAATAGATTTTGGAGATTCCTGGAATCAGCTGCAGGAATGCAACAGAGTTGGCAACCCTTCGCCCACCCTACACTACATTTTCGGTGAAATCTAAGGAGCCTAAGTTTAACAAATACCTTACCACAATTCCAAGACTCATAATAGCCCGTTGCTTTGAAGTACAGTCACATGTGAAATCCATTCCTTAGCACACGCCCCGATCCCTTTAACAAAAGCAAATTCTGATCTGATCTGATGCGCATCCTTCGGTTTCTGGGGAGCACAGGCGTTTAATGATAGGAACGAATGAAACAAATATCCAAATTTGGTGCTAGCTCTAAAAGTGTTTTAGAAAATGCATTGCAACCAATATGAGAACATGGAAATATACATGGAAGATTGTTTTCAATAACTTGATGATTCTTGTTATTTCCACAAAGCACTAGACAAAGGGATCCTTTCAAGTGGAAAGCAAAACCACCAAACTCACCTTCAAAGGCCCTGGTTGTCTTTAGCATGGTCTTGTAAACATGCATGCAAATATCCGACTGGAGGCATTCAGGGAAGGAGCGCTGAACCACACTCATGTCGATTCCGTAAGTGTAAGCCCACGCGTGAATGAAGTACTCCTCCAATCGCTGCCTCAGTGGTCCCGGGATCTGGTGAAAGCGGATGAACTCTTTGATGCGTAGCATCTGGGCATGGTAGCGCGCTGTGCCGCTGTAGAGTCGTTGAATGATGGCGCTGACGTTGCCAAAGATGCTTGCATACATAAGAGCTGAAAAGCGGTGAAAAAAAACGTAGAGAATACTCAGTGATAATGCATTTGAGAAACAGAAAATTCGGAAAACCTTTGGCGATTTTAAATCCCGGATCCGAGACCGGGTATGCCAACATCAACAATGTCTTGGCTGTGACAAGGTAAATAAGTTTAAATATTGACACATGAGCCATCAAGTTCTAGAGTATGAACGTTGGAAGACTTTTTGTCAAATTTCAACATAAGGAACACGTCGCGGTTCCTTACCGTCATCCTCAAAACCTCAGAAGTCATGATTAACTCTGGGCATTTTCATGTCTTGTAACGACAAAGTTACTCGCAAGTGAAACCCTCACGAAAAAGAATCAGATAGTGGGTAATGTGACAACGAGGGTGTCGTTGGAAGCTAGCTCTTGATCTTTAGGAATTTTAAACAACCTACTTCGCATAAGAAAGAAGGTAATACAGCTATAGAAGTTGAAAAAAAAACAGGGAGCAGGTGAGGTTTGTGACATGCCTCCTCAATTCTTCAACTATATTTAGACAATTGGGAGGCTTGTTTACTTATGAATCAGCAGTGCTTAAAAAAGGATTTCTCAAGCCTCCGTAAATTAAAATTTTCCCTAAAAACAGCATTTACATGAAAAGAGAAATTAGTAAAGGATTTTTGTGATCAAGTCACCCCTGAACTAAAAACCTTGACTTGCCGCTTGAGGTGTCCATGGGATGGTTAACAAAGGGAATATTCACAAGACCAGAAACACGTTCCTACCTTACACAAACCATGCCGACATTGGGGTTAAAAGGGTGGACCTAGTCTTAGAATCCCAACAGGAATGGCAAATAGTTTCATGGAATGGCGCTCGCTGTAGTTGAGTGAAAATAAGTTTATCGAAACCCAACAAAACACTAATAAGAGAATCTCCTTACCTTGCATATTTTCTAACTCCAAAGATGCCTTCAAAAAACAGAATTTAGCGAAGTCTTTGAATCAAAAATGCTTAAGAACTCAATGCAAAGCCACGATAATTCGGAGGATTGAGCAGACAAGTGTAAAAAAACACCCATGTTTTGCCTCTGACGATAAATAAATATAAAACCCCATAGGTAGGTAATCAGAACTTCAAAGAATTTACCACTACAAGACCCCAGTTTCAGCAACTATGATTTTGGACTTTGCTACCATGCCAGAAAGCTTGGATTCGGGCTTTTCCCACTAAGGTAAACTGACCGGAGCTCGAGTACTTAAAATTGACAATGATTAATGCTAAAATAAAAGCCTTTACTGAAAGGCCTACTTCTTAGAGTTGTTTCAGATCTTGCCAATGTAATGATGAAAACGGGACCTTAAAATGGAGAAAATATAAGAAAGAAACTAAGAAAGAACTATCATGTAGGCCAGATATCACCATTAGGATCTCATGAGGAAAAAAGGCAACGACTTTGGGCGATTAGGTAGACACACTCCACAGCTAGTGAACTCGACTTGATGATAAGGAAGAAAAGGCGTTCCATGGAAGAAAGGTTTCGTATGTGCAGATTCTCCTGAGTAGGTCTCAGTGAAGAACATGAAAGGAATAAAGATAGACAATGGGGCTCACTAATTCAAACATTCCAAAGTACGCTGCACCGGGAAGCATTGAATCAATTGATCCCCTCTTGAATAGTATCGAAGGCCAAAAAGAATTAAAATGCTAATAAGGGAGTGAAATAGAGTTCACCACAAAGGTGTTAGCTGGCAGTTGTTAAAGACTTCAAGGTATATGTTGCTACAAAATAGGGAAGTTAGCTTTTTCCACAATTCAAAATTTGAACACAATGGTAAAGAAACGGTAACAAAGTCGTCCTAAGTAGAAAAGGGAGCTACTAAAGGGAGTACTAAAAGGACAGTAAATCGCCTACGAGGAAGTGAAGTAAAGCAAGAGAGCAACAATTAATAGTGCAGTCAAGGTGAATCTGAAACGGCTATTAGCTTGTAAATCAAGTCCAACTAAGGAGGGCAATGATAAACGGCCTAAAAGCTGTGTCGGGATAGGTCATTTAAACATTTACTGCAAATGTATCAGTATGCACTCACAAACGCAGAGACAAACCACAAGCTTTTACCTCAGTTCGCAATTATCCAAAGAGTATGTTTAATTTTGAAAAAAGGTTCTTCAATCGTGACTACCCAGGAATGGTGCAAGGATCAACAGCGCGCCGTTAGGCAGAGGGGAAAGTGCATTTCAGTTACCATGGCTAGACTGCACCAAAAGTCCACCAGCCTTTTTGGCTATTAACGTTATTTAATATTCACACCTGTATGTGGTCGAAGCACTAAAAACACTACCATAAGGTATTAGAAGGTATCACCAGCGTGAGAATGATCGACTTGACATTAAATTTTTCACCACCTTAATCCTAATCCTTTCAATCTCGAAAGTTGTGTTGCATACCTTAAATTTTCCAAATGTTTTAAACAAATACTCCTGTTAAACTCAACCACCCATTTAGGAGAGATTATCCGCTTGCAATTTTTCAAAGCGACAATGAACGCTCCTCGAATGTCAACGTTGTTTAGGGCGTGAAAACTGCGCTTGAACCAGGCTTTGCTTGATAGTCATGGTAAACTTGAGGTGAAGTAAAAGAATGTATCATAAAAGCCAATCAAATGTTTTCACCAGTGAATATTTTGGACAATGAAGTCGCAAAAATTTAAACGCCAAACAGTTTGAACCGATGTATATTGAAGGTGCAAGTCAAATCCTGTGCTCCTCCCCTCCACTAAAATAAAAGAAGCGTCAAACACGTAGAGGGTTTAAAGTGTCCACCTCATGGTAAATGTAAGTGAAAAACCTTCAAGGAAAAGTCAACCCAGACTAAATAAAACTAGCTAGATGTTACAACAGAAAGTAAAGCAAGGAGCACATAGCATAAGGTGTGGCAAATAAACAAGATGGAAAGTCCAGGAATTACTTCGATATTTTATTGATATGACGCCTTGAAGGAAATGAAACACTGTGACACATGACGCCGTCAAAATGACAATATCCAAAATTGCGCAATGGAGGCAAAAGCAGCCCTTTCGGTTGCAAGACTATTGAAAGGGTTCACAGTTAATTCGCACGAACACACGCCTGCGAAACCATTACTGAGCCCCTAACCATTGAGGAAATAGAGATGAGAAAATGCTATCCTCAGGATTTTCCGGCTCATTTGAACCCATAAGAAGTGCACACACTATCGCCGTTTAATCGCAAAAAAAGTGCCATTTATAATTCCCCAGTGGTTACTTCAGAAAAAAACCCCTTGAAACTTTGGACACCAACTAACTGCTGCATTAGAATGGAGAGAATTTCAATTCTACAAATGTAGCCACACCAGCCTCGTCTCCAACGCGTCAATCTATAAGTTGGTTTCAAAAAAACTTTTTCGTCAGTACCCACCTAAGACACAAGTCCTCAGGTCCTCTTCACTCAAACGCCTCCCAGTTCCTTCAAAGGGGTAACAACACCAGTGTCTTCACAATTTCTCTTCCAGTTGACTGGAAACGCCTAAACTAAAGCGTTATTGAAGAAAGGTTTCCATTTCAGACAGAAAAAAATCCACAAAAGATCAGAACCGAGGGGCCATGAGAGCCGCATCACCATTCGAAAACAATAACGTTTGTTAGTGAAGGGGAATCAAGCAAGTGAATGAGAGGTGTGGACGCAGACATCTTATTGCACAATGCTTAACACATTACTAGACACATTTTGCGATTGGTAGTCATTTGCGATTAGTCCTCGTTATGAATGACTATTAAAAGCCTCGAGACTGACAATTAAGAAAAGATCATGTAGAAGTGATGCTTTCTAGCAGTGGGCTGAAATACACAGACCCTTGCGCTTTTGCGATTTGACCTCAACGTCAGTAATTCGAGGCCTTGGCCAAACCTTTCTCCATATTCATCTCCCGAATGACGTTAAGAGGAGTAACTGTAACGCCAAAAACTTCAGTTTTTTATACGAACAACTTCGTAGGAGGAGAAATGTGCACGATATTCCCATCATAATCTGCTAGCCTGTGAAGACACACCTATTGATAGATATGTAACAGATAGAATTTCTTGAGACTCATGAACTTTGACAGACAAAATCCTGACTCATAGAATTAAACAAAAATGAATCGAAGGAACAAAAAGACTTACACCCAACAAGCATTACGACAATGGAGAAGATCTTCTCCGCATTGGTGTTGGGACTGACATTGCCAAAACCAATGGAGGTGAGGCTGGAGAAGGTGAAGTAGAGGGCGGTTATGTACTTCGTTTGGAGAGTGGGTCCAGAGCAGGGGCTCTCATTGTAGAACTGTCGTGTCTGCTCCGCCAGGGTCGCCAGCCACCCGATTTTCGTGGAACTGTGTTGGTGCTCCGCGTTACCGATCGCGTACCTGCAAAGGATGAAAAAGAAACTCACATCTACGACAATGAGGATCCCTTGGCATTTATCGTATCAAACTATTATTTAGTATGAATATTACTTCATGCTGACCTTTCCTCTGTCCTCCGATTGGGACCATCGCACGTGACTTTAATCCCGAGTCATCTAAGTCTTGTGCCACTTCTAATAACATTTAAAAATCGACAAAAGGAATGAAGGTACTTGGCGTGAATGATGAAATAAGTGGAGGTTCGCAGCAGAAACCGAAACAGTATTTATTTAGGATAACCAACTCACCATCGAAATCTGAGTAGTGGAAATATGCCGGCGTATTAATAAAAATCACTTCTCGAAGAAGTGCCAAAAAAGGAGCATGATGATGACTTGGCGACGTATGCCCGTGTGCCATAAGGAAATCAAGCATTTGAAAGCTAGATGGCGTACCCGCTGCAGAACAACGCAAAGAGTTTAGACACCTTCAAGATTCACATCATTTGTGATCTATAAATATTCCGTCATAAACTGCACCATGCATAAACTGGTAAAAGGAAAAAAAAACAAAGCTCACAAATGACACACGTAAAAGTAAATACTCTAAAAGTCAGGAGAAAGGCTCGCATCCGAACTATATAGCAGATAGGCCATCAGATAGTTGATGTGCCACGGTATTGAGACTGGTTCAGACGTTGTGTCATACCAGTAATCTGAACAAGGAACAGATATTAACGCACATATTCCGAGTGCCGATTATTAAAGTTTATGGTTGCAATGAATGAAAATGAAAGGGAAAGTTGAGGTGCGACTGTAAATGGCGTACGCTTAGAAGCAAGGACGCGAGTTATTCTTTGTCCGATTTCTAAAAGAACATGGTGCAGGATTTGCCAATGCAATGGGGTGAGTGCCAGCAACACATCCATAAAGAGTTGCATTCCCATCGCATGATCGCAAGCTTTTCCACTTCTTCGTAACTACAGGCAAATTATTTAGGGATTTAGACTAAAAAGACCGATAACAACTAAAATTTGTGTTTTAATAAGGAGCACTGGATTTTTCAACGAGCAATACTTGATTGCAACATTTACATCGCAACATATTGAACCACTAGCCTCTCTTGCCTCCTCGATTGTCCCGAATGTCTCAACGGCAAGTTTTGATGTATTCAAAACACACCTCTGATTCGGCTAAGATAGCATGCATGACTCTGAGATTCGGTTCTGCCAAAATAGAAATTTCCACTTCAAATATCAGCATGCTACAGAATCCCCAACTTGTGAGAACTCCTCTCAAAGTGGATCTTCGTAGTTCCACATTAATATCCAAGGGAGATTTGATGTTTTCGGAAACCCTTCTAATCGTAGCATGAGAGTGATTAAGTCTAAATGTTATGAATTTTTCTTCATCAATCTTGAATTCGACCTTGGACCAGCTAATAGCCTCCAGAAAAAGAGCATATCAGCCAAGGATTGTTTACCAAATTAGAATGACTTTGCTTGGTGGATCAGATCCCCGACTTACACAGAGAGAGTGATTTACCCTGGTACAATAGAAGGGAAGCTAATGTAACTCTTGAACGGACTTTAAACTTCTGAAGCATCAGCCATGAAGAACTAATTTGCTTAGAGGAGATATAATAATCCTTACCCTTAGTGCTAAGTATCAGCGCTCTATCGCACACGGGGGCTACAAAAATCAAGAACGATAAGAAATTTTCGATATTGCCCGCTCACATCGACATCATCATTAACCGGACTGTGATGTATCCGTCTGCACATAAACAACATTGAGTAAGGGTCATTATTGTTGCTAATGGAGCATTAAAGTGACGTCAATAGCTTCGCAATGGAATGCAAATGGCATGCAATAAATTCACTTCTCACCTCTTTATGGTTTGTTTAGACCAAAGACCTCTCCAAATAAGGTCTTGTTTGTGATATTCAATCTCAAACTTGTAGGCAAATAACTTTCCTCACTTAGAGCGTGCAAACCTAAGCTTGCAGTCTTCAATGAAACTAACTTCCGACGTCCTGAACCATTGAAACCCTTCTCGAGGCGGTAAAATAGAACTTCGATTCCTCAATAGAGGGGCTTTCAGGCTGGCCTTTTGCATGCCCTTCAAAAGATGTTTCCAGAGGAGAAATTTTGTGCAAATCATCACCAATCAAACCAAGCAATGGCAAATTTTTGCTTAAACTATTAAATATATGACTTTAGACAAATGTGTGGGATTGAGAGATTATTCTAATGCTAACATTGCACACCGAAAACCGAGCAATGCAAGGTTTGTTCCCAAAACAATTCAAAACGGCCATGGTCATGACAATAGGATATTATCTTTCGACGTCAGAATCTCTGTATAAGATCAAGCTTAACGGTTGCCAAACGAGTACCCTGCGATGATGCCCAAAAATAAAAAAGGCCATCCAAATTGAAATTAGCCTACAGCTCTCCAGCGACTTAGTAAAAAAGTTGCCACAAACCGATCGAGAGCACATCGTTGAATAGTTGCACTGGTAGCACAAGTGGTGAGCGATGCGTGTTAAAGAAGGGTAGCCATGAATATTCGTGTAAAGTATTTTCCATCGCTCCTGCATGTCAATTTAGCACTTGACCAATGTGCACCCATCCGAATGGATGTAGGAGACCAAAAATTTGTTACAGCTTGTCTATTTCAACGGTGACCCTCTCGACGTATAGCCTTAACACATACTGTCAGTATCTCTGAATAACACGTCCATTTCGACAGTTGTCAAATGACTTGGTAATAAGGTAGGTGGTGACTCAACAAAACTTGCTTACCCAAAGACGTGGATTCTCCTCCTATTTTGATGGCCGATCAAGAGGAGCAGGAGGCGCAAAGAATCTTGACATGGTAAATTAACTTGACAGACGAATCGGAGAAATGATTGTTTTGGCAGCATAGTGGCCCGTGTTGTTCCCTATCAGAAATTACTTCATGTACACATATTTTTTGAAATTTATTTTAATTTTAACACGGAAAATGACTTCACTTTTCATCCGAGCCTAAAATTTTACTCCCGAATGGGTTGATGCAGGAAATTTCGCAATTAAATCCAATACCTGCGTGCCATTTAAGACTCATGCAACGTATCTCCTTTGAAACAGAGGTAGCCTGCTAGGAATCAGACTTGGGACGCAAAATACAACTGAAACGAAATCCGCTTTTACCGACAATGTGTGTTCCATACGTAAAAGTGGACAATAAAGTGCGATTGAAACTACTTTTGAACAATAGACACGCTGACGAGGAGGGCAAGACAGCCAACTGAACTTGAGATATATCCAAGAGCCCGCATTCAAACCTGAAGCAGTGGAGCTCTACAAAATCAAGGGAACAGCACGCAGGCTTCAGTGTACTTCAGTAGAAATCTTCTACTATGCCAAGAAATACGAAGGCCTTCCCTCAAGCTCTTACGCTTAAGAAAATTGCCCCGAGAAGACTCCAAATGCTCCGACGAGATCAAACTTGTCAACAATATGCGCAGCACAAAGATGAATTGCCACTTATTTAAACAACCCTCCTAACTATAGTGATACGAACCTCCTAACCCTCCCTAGTAGTGGCACTGAGAAGACAACCAACAGGCGTACCTACAGCACTAGGGGCGCCACCAAAGACTTTACGAACGACCTGAATAAACGACACTGAAAAACGCAATTAATCGTTTCAGGAGGCACATTAGAAAAGTAATCAAATTTTCATAGAGGTAGACGTGTGTTACATTCTATAACACTCGTGCCATTTGGAATCTTCTTCACGATATAGTTGCACTCCCTAATGTACGTCAGCCATACACTTGAACGGAGACAAAAGGCTCAAAACGACGTTGACGGTTTTCTTGTACAACTTCAAAATTTAAACAAGCCTCCCATGGTTTCCCTCCCATTAGTGTACAAAATAGCTAGATACTGAACGCCGCAGTGGCATACCTACTAAAATGAGTGTTAATTGACGATAGAATAGAAGTTAATGAGGTTATTTAAAAACAACAAAACCGAAATAATCTGACCAGATCTCGCAGAAAGAAAGTCGTTTTCATAGTTTCAATAGTTCAAAGGCCACGCGTATGAACCTTTGTATCAATCAAGTCGTCAGACATCAGCAGCCACCAGTGCGTCATAGAATGCCATTTGGTGTACATAGCGCGTTTGGGTGCATGAGCTATTTCAATTCCCTTCGAAGAATTGTACCGACACTTCAGGAGACCTATGAATCCACCACCCCTAAACTTGGTGACCTTACAACGACTTCAGAGGATAAATTGTGAGCCACAAACCACATTTCATACTGCAGCATATAAGTACCCTCCAAGTGCGTCATACCTGCTATGACTTAATCTGCAGTGGATTGTACGAGGGGCTGTCAAAGTGAGATTGAAAGTCGTGAGTCATCTACCCATAGTAAGCAGTAATAAGGCAAAATTGTCCCTGGATAGTTCAAAAGCGAAAGACATTATCTGCCTCATTACCAATTGTGCTAATAAATAGAATTTTCTTTTGATGAATATTCTGATGAAAAGCAAATATCATATGAAATGCAGTTGTCATAGCATTTCGTCTGGCAATACGGCAAAGGTAGGTGAATTCCCATAATGGAGTTCGTTAGTATGAGTCTCACTGCGTTCTCAAAATCGACTGATAATGATAATTGCCAATTATAAACTTCAAATCCATCCACAAGTGATGCTGAGGGAAAAATGATCTCAAGGCTGTCGAAAATGATATTTAAAGAAATGATTGCAATTATGACCGAAATAACTGATTACCTACAACTCTCCTTCGAAGTAAGAAGGGCTCTTATTCAAGTTATGAGTCATTAGCATCTCAAGTCGCTCTGATGTCCACAGTCAACGTATCGAATTGACTCACCAGATGCAAGCCAGCCAGTGAGCAATGAGAACAAAGACAGAGGTGAGAAGGACGAGAATTGCAGTGCCATACTCCGAATACCGATCCAACTTGCGAGCTACGTTGATGAGGCGCAGTAGACGAGCCGATTTTAATAGTCCGATTAGCGCAGTAGGCTAGAAGAAAATGGAAGAAAACGTATTTAGCTAAGTGATGTTCAGTCATACTTATGCCAACCATGCCTCTTTCATCTCGGTTTTTCAAAACGCCCATCATAATGGCTTTAAAGTCGCGCGTTTTATGACACCTTCAGAGATGAACCGAACGCCAACTACGACACAAGGTCGGCCAACACCAACAGTCGAGGTGCCCCTGAACAGGTTAGGATGAGTCATCATGCCCACACCACCAATGGGGATGAGAAAACGAAGGAATGTCTGAAACCAAAGCAGTCCTATACACTAACAGTACTAAACACTAAATTAGAGAAACCACACGATACTAAGTCTATGCTTATCGCTCTTCCGGCCCGAAACAAACTTCAGTCTTAGCATCAGCTCATATTGCTAATGATGCAAGAGTAGGAGAGGATGGAATGATAATCCAAGGTTTTGCAGCTTCGACTAAAGGTGTCCCAGAGGTAGTATTTAAAAAAGCTACAAAGGGTAGTGCTGGAAACGCTAAGCACAGCTTTTGAGTATTTCCCTCTATTCCTTCAGCTTATTTTTTTTAAGGCAATTTGAAAAGAAAAGTGATTACTTGACAAAAGACGTGGGCAGATGGATAAAAAATTGTGTAGTATTTCTGAAGACAATTCTCTGATGGTAACAGTCAAATTGGCCAATCCTTTTCACTTAAATGACATGAGTTGCACGAATTCGTGAGAGTATTTTTAAAAAATCTTGACATCTACCCCGACTTTTAAGCACAGAATTGAGCTGCATGACTCAAATCTAGAAGATTTTTAGACCTATTATTTGGTAAGCAGAAGTATATGTGAACACAATCCAATGCCATTTTAACCACAACTGTAAAAAACATTGCTTTAAAGCAAGACATTACTTAAACGCTGCCGATTACGATTGTATCGGAGTAGTTACGACTCCGAAAGGAGTTATAAAGCCACAAGAACACAACACCCAAAATAAAGAGCAAGTGTTTACCAGAAACCGAAATTGCATGCGAATGATGATGAAGCTGATAAAAGCCTCGGTAACCATAAGAACGAAGAATATAAGCAGCTAAAACATCCGCGGAGCTCCTTTGCGCTACGTAAACACGAATGCAGCGCATCAAGAAATCAGAATTTGAAGAGTTACAAAAGGCAAAGTAAACTGCGGGTTTCGCAAATGCAACATGGATTACTTGATTGACCCTTGGTTCTATTTATATAGGCTCAGCCTTTGTACTTCCACTGCGGAGCACTCCCTTCCATCCATTCTAACGGCCTTCCACCCGATGTCATTATACACTGCTCTAACATGATGCCTACTCCCGAATTCAGGAAGAGTTCAACGATTTATGTAGTCCGAAAGAGACAAATTATCAAAGCAATGTTGATAACTATTGCCCACCAAGTGACCAAAATATCTGCGTTGAACGTGCGAATCACCATTCGACAAAGAGATTAAGTATTCACGACAATATCGTGAGCAATAGCAGTTCAATAAAGCGGAAAGAAACACAATCTCCCCTTTGAGACAGTTCTAAAGCTCCCGGAATGATACAGAGGAAGGGTAACTATTTTCTGCGAGTGGAGGTAGCTTAAAAACAATATTTTAGCCTGAACTTCACATAAACAGCGCACTAAAACAGAGCGAATTGCATTGGAAGCAGAGTCAAATTGTGTGCTCAAAGAAAGCAACATTTTGAATTTGTTTCGATGTTTTATACGGAACTGACATCTGGAACTCTTTAGTTGTCTTAGAGACTCAAATTAAATGGATGGAAATCTCGTGAGAGAAGTTTCAGATAAAAAATTACAACACAAAGATATGTTCAATCAAGGAGAGATATAGTTACCTCAGGAGCACAAGATTGATCCATAAGAGGGAACCGCTAAGAAAAAACTCATAGCAAGGGAAAAGCTAAAGTTTTGCAGACAAAGTCAAAAAATTTTATAATTAGCGTTGGGAACCGTGGAATTCAGAGCAATAGCTCCGGTCCAGACCTCCTTTGCAGGCATTCAAAAAATGCATGAAATAATTTGCCTATATTTCAGGAATGGAAGTCGATCAACTCAAACACACAGGGCACTTTTGACCAATTAAGACGTAGGAAAACAATGTTTTGCATGCAAGAGAATAGCAATGAGTAGAGGTAGACGATATGAGTATCATTTTCAAGTGAAAAAGCTCAAGGCTGATGAGATACGAAAAATGGAGTTGCGGAAGGACTAGAAGAAAGTCTTACATAAGACTGGACAAAAATGACTGTAATGGTGAGTAAAAATGCCGAGTTCGCGGAGTCCCGGTCAACGCTATCAACTCTCCACTTACACGACTCCAAAGCGTGCATTACGGAAAGGGTATCCATTTAACTGATCATTACGAGCGGCACACCGTACCACATAGAAAAAACGGTCTTAAAAATGGAAAGCTTTTACGAAAGGATGAGTGAATGAAGAGGAAAGCGACATACCTGTTTTTCCTGCGACCGAAAGAAAAGCGCATCAAAAGGGATGGCGGCAACAAGATCGATGAGGAACCAGCCCTTGAGGTAGTGTGTTGCAATCTTCTTGGGATTAGAAACCACCTCGTCATTTTTATTAACATAGGTGGTGCGGAAGTTGATGATAATGTCGCAGACAAACATAATGTCCACCATTATGTCCACCGTACCCAAAATGGTCCGATGACCTGGCGATCTGCGGTGAGGGTGAGTGCAGTTGAAACCCTTTGAGAAAAGTAAGGAACACCATAGGGAAAAATGTCCCAATAGTATCCTGAAAATACCGGACAAAAAAACTTTGATGCAAAGGAAGGGGGCAAATGAAGATACGGACTGTTTGATTCACGGATCTCTTGCACATTTATCGTACTGTTAATGCTGTTTCAAACAACCAACCTCAAGAGCCGAATTCAACAACGCAGTCCTGAGGTGGAGCTCATAATACCTTAATACGCACAAATAGGAGCAGTGATTCTGCATCAATTCTTTCACTGACTTGCCAATTCGCCGATATATGTGTTTTTCATTGTGATATGAAGCAAACTACCTAGATTGACAACACGAGTTCTCGATCAGGGTTTTATCGTTGCAAGGAAGTGATCGAGAGGATGCGTTGAGTAGCCTTTTGAAGGTTCTGATTTTACGATTGAAATTTGATTTTACGTTATTTCAACATCGAAAAAAACGAATAGTGCGAACAATGTAATGAAGTTCGCAAGTGGTGGACATACAATAAAAGCTGAATTTGCACAATACAAAAAATTCTGAAGTACAAAATTAAGCCACTTGTCACATTTATATCCTAAGCTTTCAAGGTTCAAGTATTTAAGCATAAAACACCTGTTGTAAGGAACATATTCGATAGTGCTCGCAAGCACATTTAAAAATCTCCTCAAGTACCAAAAGAAAAGCACACCGGTAAGAGCAGTCAGATGACATGAAGCCACTACTACAATGTATTAAAATTTATTCAAAACTATTTGAAGCTAATTGTAAATAATTACCACTGACTAGCAGGAATACACATCGTTGAGTCTTTCCTCGTTTCAGACATCACACACGCACATTAGATTTAACGCTTGCCAAACTCTAAGAGAAAGAAAACCAAGTCACGAATTCAAACTTAGGTCAACCAAAGCACTCCCTTAAAATTGCTTCACATCACACAAAAGTGAAAGAGATCGCAAAAGTAAACTATGTGATTTTTCAATACATGAGACGGATAATCACCTTGCTGGCAATTAAATCAGATAAACTAAGTTTAAACACAACACCTTGAGGTCCAATAATTATTCTTAGCTTATTGAATTGCTGTTCCATGTTACTTTGAAGTCCAGAGGTTTACTGAAGAACCCCGAACGCGTTAATCCCCATTTTTTATAGAAACAATGTCCACACCAAAATGATGCGCAGAAAACCCTCGCATGGGCTTAAAAGGTCAGAAGTTGCTTAAAATTGAGACCAACACATTGGACCCAAGCAACCATTACTTTGGTTGCAGAATAGAAGATAAGTACGTAGTAAAAGTATCTAAGCAATTACAAACTACTTTTATAAACAAATACATATATCAAGCTCCAATAATCCAAGTTGGAGGCCCAAACGTTTGTAGACCGGTAACAGTCACTTTCTTGGGACGAAATAATGCATGAGGCGTGAGCTCAAATAAAAAAAACGCACCTGCACAATGCATTAAGCGGTTCCAGACAAAGTTCAAAAACTATTCAATAAAAAACTTCAAAAATTAGAACAAAATCCATCCATCAAAGGACTTATAGTAATAAAGCAGGAGAAACCAAATAAAAGATTTGACATTAAAAATGTTACTGTTTCTCCGTAAAATAACGCAACAAGTCATAAATGCACCTTGTAATTGAGAAGAAATGCTGTCATATAGGGCGTGAAAATGACTGTGTAGATGACAAGAAGGAGAATAAACCAGTCCCACACAGCTCGGATCGGACTGTAGTGCTTGATGGTGTACTTGTGCATCCTTTTTGACTCCAATTTGCGCTTCTCGTGAAGATCCTTGTCCAGTGACAAAATCTATCCCAAGGATCATTGTAGCCAAAAGCACTTTCTCACCTTCGCGAAGGTGTCTGTGACATGCGATTTCGCCTGGTCCCCATGTTTCCCCAGCACCACCTGAAGAGTCCCTGCATCACTAAGAACAATAGATGTCTGCGACGCAGGCGCTGATATAAGTCGACTCCCACGAGCCAGGAGTGAGGGTAGAGCATACCTACTGCACCTTCCACCAAGAACTGCTGAAGCTGGGCGCGCACGATCCGTAGTGGACTCGGTCTCAGAGGATTGATGATCAGACCACAATGGTGGAGCATTGGAACAGGATTTGGGACGAAGTTCTGGCTTTTTGACTGGCTCGTTAACCATAGAGGCACGGGAGGTTTGAACCGAGGAACGAAGTGTGACAGAGTTAGCTGTTCCTACGCTAGCTGAATCAAATCTAGCACCTAGGTTATCGAGGTTAGAAGGGAGAACTCGTAAGCCTACTTTTCTCCGTGTTGGCGGGCTCTGGGAGGCTTTTGAGGTCGTTAATGAAGAGGCTAGATATTGACATCTTGTGATTGTTTCCGGAAGGAATGTTCTCGGATGGTCGACGGCTCAGAACGACCTCCTTGGGTAGTAATTCATGAAGTACGGATTGACTCAGTTGATGGATGCGTTTGAGATTGCTTCTAGGCGGCTCCTTACCACGATGGAAAATCATGGTAGCAATACTGGAGATGCGCCTTGCACTGGCGCATCGAATCTGCCGTTTCTCCGAATGAATTTCCTCGACCGCCTCAAAAAATATTATGTGTAGTGAAACGCGGCCAAACTCATCCGTAAGTGGAGTAATTGTAACTTCACACTGCCTGACTTCATCTAAGAGAAAATATGCAGTCTTAAAATAGAAGAAATGAATTACCCTTTCTGGTGTAGAGACTGAGCTGAAGCTTCGTCTCTCGATCACATACCAATCCATCAGCCAATGCTTGAATGGACTCGGAAGATGTTTTTTCGCCGCATAAAAATGAAAGATTTGACGACTTCAGGAGCAGCTGCGCTTTGGTAAAGGAGAAGAGGTCACAGAAGTCAGCACTGCAGTATATAATGGGATGCAAGTCTATCTTGGAATTGGTAATGACAAAAGCGGCATCTACAGGCAAATATAAGAGCAGCTAAAATAAACCTACACTGATTGTCAAATTTTTTGATAATTGTATCAATGTAGGTGTTCTTCGGAGCTATGTGACCCCTCCGGACGGGCATGCTTCGCGCAAACGCATGTGCAAGGGTGTCATCTTCAAATTGAGCACAAACGCAAGTTACAAGTTTTATTTTCCGTTATGTATTTCTTTGGACAATATCACTCTAAAATATTAATAAATATGTATATCTTGTATTTTTGTTTAAGTCGCTTGTACAGATTACTACAACTTTTGCTTGGTGACCCATAAAATGCCGGTCACAGACAAGGTTGGTTTTCTTTATTTTAGCTCCAATCATTTTTTAAGGGTGGTGAATCTTATGCGAGGCCAACGTCAGATTTCATTGTGAATGGAAAGTGGAAGCTTGTACGAAAAATCGGAAGCGGATCTTTTGGTGAAATTTTCCTCGGGGTTAATGTTGAAACTGGTGAGGAGGTTGCAGTTAAGTTGGAGAAGGTATCGGCCAGACATCCACAGTTATTGTTTGAGAGCAGAGTGTACCGGCTGCTTGTGGTAAGTCGCTTTTTCCGCATGCATTTTTACTTGTTAGGATACACCCGGCCTTCCTCACATCCAATACTTCGGCCTTGATGGTGTAAATGATGCTTACCATGCTTTGGTCATGGATTTATTAGGACCGAGCTTGGAAGAGCTTTTTAACTTCTGTGGTCGGTGCTTCACGATGAAGACGGTTTTAATGCTTGTTGATCAGATGCTCTGGCGTCTGGAATTCATTCACGCTCGTCACTTCATTCATCGGGACATTAAACCAGACAATTTCCTAATGGGGATCGGCAAGCACTGCAACAAGCTTTTCATCATTGACTTCGGCTTGGCTAAGAAGTTCCGGTGCGTCCCCTCATCTACCGGTTTTCCTATTTTTTTGACGCTGTTTTATCTTGCTGTCATTTAACAGAGATGGGAGAACCCACCGACACATCAGCTATAAAGAGAATAAGGCTCTAACAGGCACCGCCCGTTATGCCAGTATCAACGCCCATGCTGGGATCGAGCAGTCCCGTCGAGACGATCTAGAGTCTCTAGGCTATGTACTTATGTATTTCCTCTGTGGATCTCTCCCTTGGCAAGGCCTTCGGGTGAGTTTTTTTCCGCTTCAATTTAAGTCGTGCCATTGACCGTTAAGTTTGTCACCTATTGACGTCATTCAATTTTATTGTGCTCGGATACGGCTTTGAGCTGTACGCTTCTTAACTGTCCCACACACCTATAGGCACAGTTAAATGTCGTCCAGAAATCTAAGTTGGACTGCTGATTTAATTTTAGGCATGTTATGATAGATTTGTTGATAATGAAGATAGATATGAGGAGGAACTTTGCTCGCCTTTTCTGCATTTTTTTTGCATAGTTGCATACTCGCACGCTTATTTGCATTAGTTCGCATTAGTTAGTTAGTTAGTTGTGCGCCACCATTGCTCCATAATTCGTAGACAAGTGCTGAGGGGTGTGTACACATTTAATGAGGATCACATGTCGCGACCGTGTGAGTGTATGCATGAGTTTGTTAATCAAGTTTTCCTGTTCTCGTGACCACTCCCTACCATTCTCTTCGACCTCTGCTTTGGAGAAGTATATACTATCGATTTGGGCAATCGATGTAACGCATTAGAGGGTCACATCTGTGATCTGTTTCCGAATGAGCGCTCTAAATTATTTTCTACATTAAACTCGGATCTGATCATCAAAATTACTGAAATGCGTCGTGCGTTAAGTGCTTTTTCAAATAATCGAGATGTTTCGGATATCTTTTTCCAGTAACTGTTTTCACAAATGCTTCCTCGGTATGGTCGATGGAATTAAAGTAGTTGGCTCAATATTGCTTGGTGAAAGGACTTCACAAATATGATGATAATGGTTGCATTAGAAGTCCTCATGAAGAGTCGAGTTTTTTTCCACTTCTCCACGGCATACAAATTATCTTGCTTCTATCGAGGTTTGTTGGCGATGGACACTAACAAGTTAAAGATGTTTCGGAGCAATGCCCCAGTATATTGGTGTAGGAGGCAATCGCTGTTGTCAATTTTCGGAGGTCGAAGCCGCTGTTCTCTCGAATTGAGTGTAAGATTCGACTTGTTAAACAGTGCGCTTTGTTTGAAATTGGATTATTCAGGCATCTGAAGGGTATTTTTGGCTTTCTATTGATGTTTCACGCAATTGGATCAATCAGCCTTCAATCTGTGTTTAAGTAGCTAATTTGTATTCTGCGCAACATTCACTGTCAAGGGTCCTTCTCCGTGTTTGCTGACTAAAAAACCGCGTACCTCATTCGTTCGTTGACCGACTCTAATGCCGCCCTTTTCCAGTCTCCAACATATTAAGCCGAAGCGTCGGAAATCATTTTTTTTTTCATATCTAATATCCTTTATGGCTGTTACTTGCTAAAGCAGCTATTAGGGGACTCTTGTTCATTTTAATTCGCTCATATCCATTGTCATCCATCGTGTTGCGTGGACTATACTTACTTCATCCCCATACTAAAGGATAGTAACCCCTTGTTTGGGAATTGTGCCATCTATTTTGAGTACTTCCTCCGTCGTAGCGTCTGGATTCGTTTATCTTTCGCTGCTATGTCTAGCGTGAAATGTTGTTAAAGCTGTGCTTGCTGATCGCCTTGTGGAAAGCAAAAGTTAAAGAGTATGTGAGGTTTCACCTCTGAGCAAAATGTCATCGGCTTTGACCTGTACTCTAGTTCTTATTGCATTCACATCATTGAATTTCTATTTTATCCATTCATTTAATAACATTATTGGTTTTAGATGAATTAACTGTTCATTTTCGCCATGCTGGCCCTCATCTCAGATTTGAGATGACCGCATGTGCAGATTTTGAGATTCCTCTTTTAATAATGCTTTTTTTAAAAGGTGTGATCCATTCACTATAAAATCACTGATAGATTTCCAAGTTTATGAATTTGGCTTTCAGTTTAGAAACCGTTGTGTACTATAACGCGTTTTACTTCTATCCTGTGACATATATGGGATCTGCCCTGATTCGGGATTAGGTCCTGTTAAATTAGTTTTGACCCATTCTGAAATGTCCTTATTTTTTTTCTTTAAGGCGAACACAAAGAAACAGAAGTATGAGCGCATTCATGAGAAGAAGGTATCCACCTCGATAGAGTCTCTGTGCCGTGGTTTCCCACCCGAATTTGCGCTCTATCTGACACATGTGCGCAATCTGAATTTTGACGCTACTCCTGACTACACACTCTATCGGAGCAACTTCCGTGCACTATTTAAAGCTCTTGCTTTCAATTGGGACTTTGTCTTCGACTGGACCTTACTCCGTCAGAAGGCCTCTGCAATTCAACAACACTCCAATGCAGTAACGCACGATGTGACCGTTGTTGGTGGAGGGGGGGTTGCTGCTGGGCCTGCCAAAATGCTGCCCTCCTCCAACACCACTGCTGCCGTCATGGGCGACGACGGATTCGGTACTGGAAAGCTCTAGGCCGTCTCCTCTCATCTTAGATCTCCCTCTCCTTTCGTGTCTTTCTGTCGTGCGCACTGTCTGGCGTATTTATCGCACGTGATCACTCACTTTGGTTCCTCTTACCTTGTATATTGTTCTGTTTTTTTTTCACTTCTTGTGATGGCTTTCAGCTACCCGTCCTCCTGTTCATCACCCAACTTCCCTTTAGTTACGCACAAGTGCACCAGATCACGTGCACACACGGAGACGGCGGCAAGGGGTAAGCACTTGTGTGCCGTACAAAGAAGCTCCAGGAAGAAGACATTAATGTCTTCCTCCTCCTTTAAACTATGATCCTTCAGGTTTCCATCTCTATATGCAAAATGGGAAAGTACCTGTCTTCTCTCTACTTCTTTAGCGACTCTCTCGAATTACTGGTGATATTGGTGGTTGATATGCAGTTCTAGTTACTCCTCAAAGCTTGAATGCAGTCTCTTTTTGAGCTTGATTGGCCCTAGTTCTCTCTCTAAAGTAAAGACACCAATCTTGAACAGTGGTCTTGTTATCGAAGGAGATTTACCTAGTTGTGAGAAATCAATAAGTGCGCAATTTGTATCCAAACCCCTAAAGGTACAATGAATCCACGTTCTCTGCTAGCATATGTCAGATATTAGAAGTCTCAACGGTCTTGAAAGTAAGTTCATAACTTATATCATTGGTACGATCTTGAGTAGATAATTGCTTTGTTACTACGCGTTGGGCATGATAGATGAATCGGTATTTGCGAAGGCGCCTGATTTTCATTGTTAGCGTTCAACGTTTACCCAGGCAGGTGGTAGCATCGTTCAGTGCTTTGATCTGAAGTGGGCTTTACGAGCGCTCACGACTCTCGATTTGCATGGGCTATAGTACGTGGATGCGTGCGTAGGCAAGGAAGGTGGGGTCCTTATTTCAGCCTTCAATGGATTTTGTGATCACCTGATCAGTCTTGGGTCTTCCGCAGAACTGGCCAAGTTTTGAAGCCAAACCGGATAATGGCGCAACAGTCCTCTTTTATTACTGTTTAATAGTGGCTATTCAATAATACCTTTCGTCCATACAAGGCTTTCCCGATAAACCATCAAAACGGTGATTCAAGAATACCGAAAAAATTCCTATTTAGTCATGCAAATTGGCACAACAATTCATAGTAGCATGTCTAACTATATATTGCCGGCATGTGCAGAGGAGCTGAGAATCTGTCGGCGCAGCTTGTAGCTGATCAAGCAGGAGTACAATTTGTGGGGGATCGAGAGCCAGTCCATGCGAGTGTAACCTCAATAATGGTCCTAGGAGTGTGCTCAGTTGTGTTTTACACCTAACAGTTTAACCCTCACGAAGAAGGGTACTGCAAGTACTCCACAAATTGGAGTTAAATCAAGTGCTCTCAAGGTAAACGATACCTGCCTGTCTGACTCATCACGTAGGTGTCTGTTGTGAGCCCGTCATGGTGCCAGGTGAGATCACACTGCACACCAAAACTCTCAGGAAGTAAGTCTCTTCAGTTCAACTTCAATTCTGAACAATTTTGCATAACTTCTGAGCCATTCTAGTCGAGTTGGCATCTGTTTAACTGCTTGCATTATTACTAAATGCTGATTAATAATACAATTGTTAAATTCATGAAACTATTCCAAAATCCTCAAGTAGTTTTAGCGACCTTGGCTAGTAGGTCAGACATAATACCCTTCATTGCATGGTTTAGTCGCTTCAACGCCTTTCATGGACCATCTTGTGCGCACACGGATGGATGAAAGAAATGGTTGCGACTGCAAACGACCCTCAGGTCAGTTAAAAAGTGCACAGATGAAGGCACCTACCCTCGCAACCACAGTGCTCATTGGAATTCTTGAGGGCAATGTGCACAAAGGGGGTAATGTGGAGGTTAGAATAAGAGTGAGTATGCACCTAAGTAAGCTAATTTGATAGGAGTTGATTGTGCGTTCATTGTTCGCGTAAGCTATGGAGATCATAAAAGTTCCATCTTTTTGTGAACCAAAGTTCATCCGACGACGGCGTAGAGTCGACAGTGGTATTCCATTCACCACACCCTTAGAGGACCAATTACCGTGCTCTAACAGTCTTCTGATTGACATTGAGTTAGCCTATCATCTTTAGAGGACAGGAGATCGACTCTAATCACCGTTGGTTATTGATTTTGTGATGTAGACGCCTTATAGTTGGCGCCTGAAAATCACTTCATAACGTCAACTATAATTTAGTAACCTTTGGACAATCGGAAAAGCTTAAAAGTTCATTTAGAGGCTTCTTTGGTTTCAAGTTTTATATTTTTTTGTCGCAGATCAAATGATTTCTAGCTGCATAACTGCTTTCACGCGAGCCACGCAATACAATACGTCAGCTCAATTCGTCAGAGGGTAAATAATGGAGTGATGGATAATGTACTGGCGCAATTACTTGATTTGCTAAAATCTAATTAACCAACAACTTATTTAATTCAGATGAAAGTGGACATTATGAGAGCTCTGGTCCCAGCAAAAGTAGCAAATGTGCTTCATTGAATTAGATCACTAGTTAGAAATGAAATCAGTTTAAACACCACCCTCATTTACTTTTAGTATTCAACTGTTTCCATGGAAAAAGCCATGAGGGCGGAAATTAATTGGCTTTCCCATAACTCGGCTTTTCTTCCTCTCTTGCATAATTCCAACAATGTTTTACCTAGGCTGCGACCCGCGAAATTTCCAAGATTTTGACGTTACCATTTGGGCTGCAAAGTAAAAATTCGCCATGGTAACGCTTTTGTTTAATGTTTTCGCTCTTTTGTTGTCAAACTGGTGAGGTCTTACGAGTACATTTGTTTATTACCATCATGTATCAAATGCGATAATGAATGTATGTACCTTGAAGATTGGGTATGCCTTTCAGAAGGCGATGCAGTAGCATACAAATTTTTAGGAGGGTAAGATTTTAATTGTTGAGTTGTTGTTGTTATTTGGGCGAATAACCTTACAGATAGCATTTGGAAGAGAGCCCTTTTGAAATCCAATTTGACGTCCATGTTACCATGACAGTCTCATGCGATCTCTTTCGAGGAACGGTCCTACTTATTTAGAATCGTGTGATCCAACAATGGTGATGCATTCTCTCATGACAATGTTAAAGCTAGCACATGCAATGCCAGATAAGTCACTAGAGCTCTGGACAGAAACTTAGCTCTAGGAGCCTTCAATATCCATTTATCATTACAGTTAAATTAAACAGTCCTCTGCTTGTGAGGATTGTAAACAATGGACTGAAGTTGCCGTAAAGCAATGCCAAGAATCACATCCTCGTAAACGGCCTATTCGGTATTTTACACGTCATCAGTTGTACGTCATTCAAAAAAAGTAAAGTAGCGCGGCTGAAACCTCACCAACAAGGCAGATGCTTGCACTTGACCCCAGTATTGTTTCAGAATAGTGAGAGGAGCCATGGGTTGTAGAATGCCGGCGTTTAGTGCCAATGCTGGTCCCACCGTAAATTCATCGAAGAGTTACCCTATGCTTGATCTCCACGGGTCACCATTTCACCATGATGGTTTTCAAAGAAGGAATTAGTGATTTGAGATTTTGCCATCGGAAAAGTCATCGAATAATTTTCAGTTAATAAATTCTACTGACACAAATTATGGCGAATTGGACTTTGATTCGGTGGCACGCTTTCCTTTGTTTTAACATAGAGGCTAAACCTAAATTTATTGACTAATTATGAGGTCTCTTCGCTAAATTGTTCTAAATTAAATGACATAATTTTAATTAACCAACTAATTGTATCAATTTTAAAAGATTCTCGGCAGTGAACATCACAACGTGCACTCCAATGAACCAATGAAATTTGACCTTTAAAGGACCACTTTTTTTCTTGCCAAGATTAGACTTTTTGGATGTGGCGGTAGCACCCAACTATGGAGCAGCATAGTCAAGGCGATGTGAAATTCAATAATTGTCTGTTGAGTACATGTTGTGGTAAAACATAAAATTAGTTTGACTTCATCTACTCACTCAGTGATCTCTTACCCACTCACTCACCTACTCGCTCAATCACTCACTAATACGCAAGTTAAGTGATAGTTACTGGATTTTAGTGGCTCACTGTTGACGCATTAGCCTTTGTAGTCACTGACAAGAGACAGGTTCTCTAAAGGCACGAAAATTTTCGAGGGTCGTGGAAGGTCTCCCGATAAGGAGTTGACAAAAAAAGTCGCATACAGATTAATATCATAAAGTGGAAATAATAAACTCTCTTTTCTCTCGCACATTCAAACACACCTTAACAGAAACGCTCAATGCACAAAACAGAACGAAAGCAGGGGGTGAGGAAGAGAGGATGTTTGGTGACTTCGGGTCAATCGATCATTAAGAAAGGTAGGTAACCTTTCGAGGTGGGTTAAGAACAAAAGAATTTTGCGATATCCGTGAGGGGGTTGCAAGGCTGACTAATTTCATCACATGATCCAGTTGTCTTGCAGTTGTAGGTAAAGCAAGAAACGAACTCCACCCCATTTAAGAAGTCACGCATCTTGTTGTTGTCATAGTAACCTTAAATAGCACTCACTATGCCACAAATATAAAAGCTCAGAAAGAAGGCTGATTTGCAATATCTTTAGCTATAATTTAAGTCGGCATTTGCCTAAGAGTGTACAACAAATGACGCATTTCAACTACTGCACTTTTATGGAGAAGTGCCAGGGACAGCATCCAAATAGAGGAATAAGTCTTTCTGGTTTGAGGATTTAGAAGAATTGATGTGCGATGAGGACATTGGAAGACCTAAAGTAACCTCATACACTTGACAATCTCACCTCCTTCAGTTAGTACAGAGAGGATACCTTTACCATTCCATTTTGAAGGGCAAAAATTGCTTTACCAACGTAAAAAAATACTAAAAAAGAAGAACACTGGCATTACTTGGAGGGCTATGTTACTCACTGGATCCAGGAAGGATGAATCCTTTAACTTCCTCGTGGTCCTGTCATTTTGATCACAAGGGCGCTAGGGGCTACTTGTACATGAAATTCCTTCTTGTTAGGAAAACAATTTGTAGTTATTTGCCTTAAAAACATTCCAGTAAGGATGAATGCATCATCTCAAACGCCATTAGGCAATCTCGATGACAGTAATTGTAAGTAGTAGTTGATCCTTCTGATACGCCGACCCCAAAATTTGGGCACTGTAGGCCGAGCACCTAGTGGAAGAGCCTGAAATTTGCAAAGACTTACTAGCGATGAATTGTCAAACGAATCAGCTCAAAAGAAGCATAAACAGTCATGATTACAGGTGTGGTAACAGCGTGATTAGAGTGCATCACGTTGCTAAATGTGGGGCCAGTGGAATCACATCATGTGAACGTTCACACCGACACGGGAGATGCAAGACCAGTGTATAGTAGCATTAAAACGGACCGCTTACTGATTCTTCTATGGCCACAAATCGCCCTTATGAAGAAAGCAGGAAATGACTTTGAGTTGGGCTCTGAAATGCAGCACTGCGGTCAGTTTAACTGCCCGCTTACTGCCCACTCGGAGGCATTGCGATGTTGTATTTTGAGTGCTCGCTTTAAGTCTTGGTTATGGGAAGGATTACTTCGGGCTTTGCCACCCTACAGTAGCCAATGGCCCTCTCTCCCTTCACCACCTTGAAAGACCACAGTCTGTCCAGTAAGTTGCCTTCTCCCGTACTCAGGGAAGGCTTAAGGGCCAGTGGGTCCTTTTGTTTAAGAGTCAATCAAGAAATACAAACCTCATGACGAGAGGGGAGAGTATCGCAACGTACCGTGTACATACTTACCTGTAGATGCCTGCAACCTCTTTGTTATTCTTCTTCAGTAAGGTGTAATTTGTCATGGTAATAAAATGCCAAGAAGGAAGTACGAAAAAATGAATCAACCATAAGGGCTATTTGTCCCTTTCCCTCTCCTTCACTAAGCTTTTAGAACGCGGACATAAAATTCTACATTCCACTAAATTCCCCTTCTCACAATATTCAACCGCCTGCGTGTGTGTATGTGTGTGGGGAGGATAATCACCCAATTCCTCTGCCAGCATTCCCGTTTTGCAGTCACAAATTTCGGTAAATTAAAGGTAACGAATGGCTGGCCGATTTTTCTTCCGATACACCGCTCAAGAGTGGCACAAATTGGAGGACACTTCTTTAAAGGTGGATTGAGAAAACTCTTAAATCTCTCATTACCGCTGACAATTGTGGCCTCCGCTTCTCACTTCTCGTATAATATACAAATTCAAGAAAAAAAAAGACATTTTAAAAACCTGCTTGACAGGTGTTAAGGAAAGCAAATTTCTAGTAATGGGTAGATGTTTAAGAAGAGTCGTGAGACCACGCCAAAGCCGATTGTGTGACTGAAAATGCATTGCTGACGTACGAAAGAGTCGAGGGACCACTGGGCGGAAGTACGGCCTGCAACAGAATTAATTGCCCGTGTAGTCAAGCCATGAGCTAGGCGAACTATCAGAGCTCTGAAGAAAGATGTGCTTAATGAAGACTTATATTATGGCTAGGAGACCAACAATTTGAATGTGAGATCCTCCTTGGCTTGGTAACTTATAAGAAACCTAGTGTTTGCTAAGAAGACACATTATTATAATGGTCTCTCGAGGGAATTCTCATTGATACAACCGCTCCCAGCGGTGTTTATGAGTGCTGACCCAGTGGACCCTCCCAGCGTGCACTCATTACTGGCGGGCGCCACAAACACTTTCTTCATTTATGGAAAGTAAAATAAATAAGGTGAACGATCTGTTTGATCAGAGACTTGAATTACTCAGTCATTTTATCTCCATCATTGTGTTTATCTATCAGCCCGATCAGTGGACGCTCATATCCTGTCCCAGTATTATGCCCTCATCCATCTTTAAGGTAGCCTTGGGTTTGTGGTATTTGTTACAGGAGCAAAGAAACCCTATCCCAGAGGACAAACTACCCTAATTCCTATTTTTAAATGCGAAACCAAACATGATGAAAGAGGGACATATGCTGCAGATGGGCGGACCAGTGATGACCTTTTAAAGATGGGTTTAAAATGGCGTCTTCCTTAGGCAGATATCCCTTCCCTCTGCCCTTTAGGACTTCTGTTAGCAAGCAAACGACGGTAAATTGTAAATTATCTGGAATACTTTGTTACATAGAGGCATCCGATAGCTGTATGAAAATGCTAATTTGGTGAATACGCTAATCTCCATCACTCAGGCAGTGTGATGATCGAGCAAAGGTGAGGTGAGAAAAAAAGCGGTGCGAAAGGATGAACTCACAACCTTGGCTCCCCTTCTTTATTAGTCGACTCAGCTTTTGGGTTAGTGTTCACACAACTAGGGTGACAGACGTTTTCTTTCTTGCCCTTCCCCTAAGTACAATTTCCAATGAGATTGCTAAGGGAGCTTAGTTGTAGGCAGAGTTAATGACTGGTGGCGTCAAGATCGTGAGCGCAATCCCTTGCATCACCCGCATCATTATGCTGATCGACATAGAAGAATCGACTAAAGAAGGAGTAAAACTGACGTTTAATAGAAAAGAGGTGTACTACAAGTATACACTCAAGGCTGCGTCCTTGAACTTCCTCCCATTGTCATGCAAGGGATCATGAACTTTGGCGGTACCGTTTTAAAATCTTTTTATAGCTGTAAGGCAGCTTGACTCCCTTGATGAAGTATCAAAATGGTGGTGGCAATTGCCCTCCTCCTGAATAATTCTCATAATAAGTGCAAGGATGGAATCACACCAAATGTTTGAATTACAGGTATCGGTTGCGGTGACTTGAATGCCTCCACCGGATTAGCCGGCACCAGGGCTATGCCAGAGGCCAAACTGCTTTCCGTTTGGCTGCAATGCACCGGGTGCTGTACCTTCTCCCATACAGAGAGAATCAGTGTAAATAAAATAACTAAAGATATAAACTTCAGCTTTGGACTTTGTGATGATAGTGGATTAGAACTAGAGGGACAAGGTAAAATTTGCAACTCAAAGATCGTACCAAAAAGGCTACAAACTGAAGACTATTAACGGGAAATTTTAGAGGCCTAAAGACTCCGTCAGCCCTCGAGTCCATTTTGGCTAGCATTAGGCCTAAAAAGTTAATATTCTGGGTTGGATGCTTAAGCCTTCTCCGTGAATGCACCTCTGCAAGTGCTCCAGTCTCTGGACCGTGGCGATGATCCTCTGCACTCCTCTGCTGACCAATCGTGTTCCGTCCATGTGGTCTTCATTCTGCCTTACAGTCAACTGGAAGGACAAGACCTCTCTCCATCATGGGAGATTAAAAATATCCTCGAAAGACAGTCAGGCTATAAAAGGTGTCAAGACTTCTAAAAGCGATAAATCTCCGAGGCATGGTGAGCTTTTCGGCTTCAGCATGGCACAGCAAATAAAACATCACCTACTCAATTACAAAAAGAGGTACAGAAGCGATGACAAAGGCACATTTTTGAATAATCTCACTGGGAGACATACGTCTCCGTCGTCCTTTCCCCATACCGAGAATTGTATTACTGCCCCGGCTACATCTCCATTTGTCATGCGACCCTCAGAGCGAAATTTGGACGTTTACTTATTAGTATCAAACATTCTAGGTTTCTGTATGCATGTTTGTAATGTATGACCGTTTTATATATCAGTGTAAAGACAGTGAGTATGTATGGGGAATCAAGATGATGGGTAGATAGGTAGACTTGGGGAAGGAGAGATATAGAGAGCGAAACTAGAATGGGCAGAGTGACATTATTATTGCCATTACTTCTGCTATTCAGGCTCCAAATCACGATTATCTTGAGCACGCATTTTGGGCGTCAGTGTGCAGTTGTCTGGACGATTAAAACAAGCTGGAGGAAGGGAGGGGAATATCAAGTTCACAACACACACACACACACACACAAAATTGTTTGTTGTCATCAATGTCTTAGCACAACAACGTCAGCAACAACAATGACACGAGTCGGAAGGTGGGAAGAGTCACAATTATGACAACAGATGTGACGGTTGTGGAGCAAGGGCAGCAGAAGGATTGTCCTCAGCATGACGCATGGATCGGTACTGGTATTGGTTCCAGGCTGGCGCAGTATTCGTATGGGAGAATTGCGACTCTGAAGGGTAGTAGTGACGGGGTGTGCGGGGCTGTAACGGCGGTAGCGGTTGTGATTGAACAGAAGTCATCGATAGCGAGTTATGAGGATGCTGGAGGTTCCTACGTGGTGTTGAAGTGATGCGCACCTTTGGAAAGGCGCTTTCCGCCAGACCGTCACAACGACCACGCTCCTGACGCACCGCGAAACGCATTAAACGGCGTCGCCAACTCTCTACCCAAGGTAGAATGGTGCTTTTCTGGTCCAACAAAAGTTCACTACTGTCGTGATAGGGCATCTAAATAGGTGTAGAGACAAGCAAGTGGTAGGCAAAGATGAAGCTTTTTCAGGATTGGTTAAAAAGTGGGAATCGGTGATTCCAAACACCATTAGTCAATGGTGCTCTGTTATGGTAAACTAAAAATTTCGGTGCCTAAAAAAGTGGCCAAAGATACCTTAAGGCTTCGGGGTCACTTCAAAACTGCAAACCACTGCTCGACTCTCTTTTCCTTCTGACTTAAGTTGGATTTACGTAAATGCTACAAAAGAGCGCTATAGGCGGTGATCAAGCCGTTGGAGAACTATGCGAAAAGATTGATGTCTTCATCTAAATTATACATCTGGTGATTTGTATCCTTTTGGGTCATCTTGTATGCGCAATTAAGTGCTGCCCTTCATGTGCATGGGACAGGTCAAAACACCGCTAAATCTACAAACTGCTTTTAGCCTTAGGAGGTAAGTCTGTTGAAGTGGCTCCCATTTTGGATCACTTTCGGGAGGTTCTCATGAAAAACATGGCGATTTAAAGCCTGTTAATGTTTTAAAATTTGCAGCAAATGAGTTATAAAGTGATTGACAGTCTGCACATCCTATCCAAATTGCCTACTAGTGGGTCGTGCGAATCAAGTTTATAAATATTTTGCTTCACATTAAAGTACCCCAATGATTGATTTACTTCATTCATTAATGCTCAAGCCTTTACTACTAAAATCGGAAACTCAATTTCAGTAGTGCCGGAAATGATAGACCATACATTTTCGTAAAATGGTTTTATGTGCAAATTAATTCTACAATATTGTGCCTTTCACAAATTCTTACAGGTTGAGTATCTGTTTGGGACAGCAGGTCCATCATCGCGTATTGTAAAGGTTTATAAATAAGGCAAGTCTACAAGAACTTGTTCTCAGGGGAGGAAAAAAACAGGTACGCGGCAAATAAAGATGTTGTCATCTTCTTCGCTACTTAAGCACTTCAAGTATTCATGAAGTATTGCTTTACACAGGGTTGCTGTCTTCCTGCGAGAGCAAAAACAGAGCTAAATGAGATGAAAGTGCGTTTTCTCAACGTGAAAACGAAATTACTAAGTTGAGCTACCTCCGCGATAAAATACCGCGTAAGTGCATATTCCTTAGGGGCCGAAATTAGTCTTTTAAAAAGGAAAAAAAGTAAATTCTTAACAGAACTCAGGCATTTCATTATCAGCTTCTACCGTTTGTTAAAAGAAAACATTTCACTCGACGTTCTTAATAATGCATTAAAAGTGCTGTGACCCAATTCAAAGGCTTACAAAAGTTACATCGTTAAGGGTTTCATTTTAGCACCGCTAAAACTGGAGAGCGAAGCTTTTGTCTTCCTTCCAGTGGGAATGTCACTGCTATGCCGTGCATCGCCGATGTCTTTACTGATACCCGATGTACTTTTGCGCATGGTAGCAATGAAATGACCATTTTATGCAGCACCGTTAGTCCATAGGTGAAAGGGATCCGCAGCACGAAGTGCTAACAATGGTCGCTAGGCCATTATTCGTGGTGCAGAGCAGTGGCATGCTGTAAATGTATCCCACCGTGGAGCGTTATGAAGAAAGGCATATTAAAGAGGAGCAGAATGTAAACAACTCTCATCCTCAATGAGCCCAAAAAAAAAATCCCGTGAACTTTTTCGCATTTTTCAACACTTCAAGTGTTATTGTGCGACCAAATGACTGAAAGCATAGTTTAGTCAACCAATTTTGCAGAGTACACTTGGTTGGGATTGTTTTGCTTTGTTTCGCTAACATAATTTATAAGTAAAAGTGCTCTACGATTGAGATCCAAGTTCACTAAAGTTGGCATCCCAATGTTAAATTGCACAAGATTGCGCATGAAAATTGCTGGCGTACTGGTGTAGCACCAAACAAATAAATTACCATATTTTTTTAAATTCTCTACACTAACTTTGGATAGTCGTTTCTTCAAAAGTGCCTTAGCCCCTACCTTAAAGCCAATCCTAGCAAGTCACTTACAATTGCAATTGCAAATTTTGATGATGAAATAGTAGCAAGGCGTGAGTTGATCGATTGAGGCTAGAATCTTAGTGGCACTTTCTTTTCTTGACATTTGAATTGCATCATTAAATTTGTGTTTCACAGTATGATCCGACCCCGCTTAAACAAGTAATGAGCTTGCATACATAAAAAGTCTTAACGATTGGGTGTGTTAAAATTCGACAAGTCAATCCAAAAAAAGGATTATTGTGAACAGGTACATGTACTTGCTGAAAAAGCTCATCTAGACCTTAGAACCACTTACTTAATAACTACCTTTCAGAGTGGATCACCCTACAAAGGTCCTGATGGTTAAGGAGGATATGACAACTTGCACTTTTAAGGATTTGGCTGTACGAGCACCTATTGCCTAAAGCTCTCTTTTGGTTCATGACAGTCGGCACGAACGATTAACTACGATTAACAATGCGAGATTTTATAGTTTTATAAAATTATCCCTTGCGGCCTTACAGAGTTCGGTCTAGTTATGTGGGAAACATTGTAATTGTTTACTTCTGCCATCGTGCTATTACTTTTAAGAAATGCTTCCAAAGTTGTGTGCCTCTGCACACAGCTTGTCAAAGTTAGGCCTTCTAGTTGTGAAAAATCAACCAGACAGGAGATTTGTTTGTCTATAAGATCTGGTCCAATTTTGACAATGGATCACGGAGAGTTAGTCCTATTCACAGTACCCTTAAGCATGATCCTTTCCAAAAGGTAATAGAATCAGACGCTCCTACTCATAACTTGTCAGTAGACACACTTGCCTCATACGCCTGTGAGATGAACAAGTAGGACTGATCATTGACGAAGCGAGGGCACACGCAGGTGGAATGCGGACTCTTCAATTGGTTTGTAAGGGGCACCCAGACAGGTATAACTGGAGCCTGATTTCGTCGTACGTGGGAAGGTAGGTAGCGCTGGGCTACACTACCCTTATTGCGCCAAACATCATGGATCCGCACACCAAGTCGCACCAATTCACCCCTTATCTCTTGCGAGATCACTGTTCCACGGAAGACTAAAGGAAGAGATTATAAAAATTTATGCCAAAATGTATAATAGTTTCGGAATTTTTCTTTTGTAAAATATACCGAAAATGTAACTTTTTACCTAGTATGGTTATGTCAGAAGCGTTTATAAATCGACCCTCCACAATATTTGTTGTCTGGTAGGATTATTAGGCACCGCAAACGATAAATGGATATGCGATACATTTAAAGCTCTACTGCTCAGACTACGAAGATGGGCTGCCTATTTTAATAATTCCCAACTTTGCGGTCTTTTCACTATATGACTTAACTTAACCTTTTATTCTGGAATAGTTGAGAACAGACACAGCTGTGGCGCCGTTTTGTTTGAATGACAAAGCACTGGAAGTTCGAAACCTACCACTTCCGACATTCCATTATTTATAGCAATAGGACATTTAGAAACAACTTGTTACGGTGCGTGCTTAATAAGTAATCATGAGAACTTGAGGCTTATTGAATGTAAGCTTTCAAAATCGAGGATCAGACTGCATTTCAAAGATCACTTTTGTCGTTGTGGCCAAACATTTTACACCATGGCAGAATGTTGTGGATCTCACACTGGTGAGGAAGATTAAGAAATTCCAACCTGCCTTCATCTGGGCGAATACTTGAGCCATTGCACTACAAGTTAGGCAGTAACTTCGAAGACCTAACCTCATTAACTAGAGATTTTAAAGTATCCTCCCAATATGGGCACACTTCATAAAGACCAAAGTGTTCATGGAGTACTACGTCGTTGTCATAAAGAAACGAAATGACGAAACTCTAAAAAGAGAGAATCATGAGAATATATGCATTTCCACTCTACCTGCTTGTCGTCGACAGAACTTCTTAAAGCGAAAACGTTTGTTGCTCATCTCACAGGGTGGGCAGGATTCGTCTGTAATGAAGAAAGGGAGGAAAAGAGGGGTAAGTGAAGGAATATTACAGTTTGGCATTACGTTTTGTGGATGTTTTGTGTCATTTTGTTAACGTAATCTACTCAAAACCCTTTTTATTGAGATTAATAAAAATATCCTTTTGAGGCGAAATCTGTAGAAATTTAGGTACTCATAACAAAATTTTTCTGCACTGATTAGTGCAGAAAACGTGCAAATATTTGTGCGTGGAGTCTGAGACGCTCAAAGGATTCTCTTTCCTCTTCTCGCCATTAGCAATGCCTGCAGAAGAGAATGCCAAACTTCCGTGCGGCAGTCGCTGTCAACGCGACAATACCATCAAAGGTATATTTGATGATACAGAGGCTACGACAGACAGATGTCCTCAAATTCCAAATGCCATCATAAAGTGCTTCATCGACTGACCGCTTCTTAATCAGAAGGTGGAAAGATCTCTTCAATTCCAAGGTCTCTTCTAGCACCGTTTACAGACTGATGGCTCCATGTTTCACTGCACCTGTGAGTTTTAGAAAGCTCTTTCCTTCATTCGGAACGTCGACTGAACCCCACCCCACCTAAAGGTCCCTTGCACTTTAACTATTCCATCGTCGCCGGAGCCGGAGCCACTGTTGGGATCTTAGGTTGGCCAAAAGACCTCAAATAAATGTTTTGGACTTCCATAGGGCAGACCATTTCAACTCCACAACAACCTTTGAGGTGATGGTTGAAGTTAAATGGGTATTATTGAGCGCATCACAATGGACAGACGTCATTTTATTCCCAATCGTCATCATCGAAGGACTCATAACGATACTTCTATCCTGAAGGTGGGACAACATCTTCAGCTTCTGGGCATTGCGTAAAGTTTATCGCAAATTTGTCTTTTATTCTAATCACTAGCTATTAACTGTAAATAAAGCAAGTACTAAAAGGGGCAAAAAGGAGAGTTATTCAATTTTAGTTTGTCAGTCCCAATTCATTTTAAGAAGCAGATTCCAAACTAACAGGCACTCTGGATGGGTTTGAGAACCTTCGACTTCTCTGGACATCATTGAATTACACCCTTCTTCTGTGCCTATGAGGTGCGTCAGCAGCTCTGGTAATCCTCTGAAATAAGGGTAGATTTCGAGCCCCCTTCAAAACCATCACAACACACTTCTTCCATAGCTCAGTTGTTGAGAAGTAAACCTTCCCATGAAATTCCATTCTTAGGCTCAAAAACCGATAGAATCACATCTTCTGAATGTCTTCCGAGACACTGAAATTGCGAATCTTTCCATGTCTTAACTAAATACCTATAAATTCACACATTTCTATCCTTCTATTTCCAGTGCAAACAATCGGAGACATCGCCTCTCCCCATGTCGATGGAACAGTTTTAATAGTTTTGAAATAACCAAGAAACTCATTAAAAAGGAGATAACTTATGTCGTTCTGCCAACCTATTCTCTGCAAGTCCAATGTCCCACTCCTATCATCATCATCGCTGGCGCTGTTGATGGTGTGGCAGGCTTAGAAGTGGTGCCCACAATGCGGCAGCCTGAAAGTCCCTCACACCCGTGTCCAATCGCAGCCCCCGTTATTCCTGCCACCTCTCCTGCTTCAGACGAAACCAAGACAGTGAGAGGGTAAAGGGGAGTTTTATAGCACAGCAACCCATAACGGCCCACTATAACCCTACCGCAGAACAACCGTGCGCGTTACCCCGTGTCCATGTCCGTGTGTGCGGTTGTGTGAGCGTTTGGGTTAATTTATACACCCAGTAAACATTTCCCTTTGCGGTGCCTGTGTGCGGAGGGTTAAGAGGAGGGGCATAGTGGTACCTCCGCGACACCGCGGTAATTGATGACGACAGGCGTGATTTTCACACCTTCGGCCAGACATCCTGGCACCATCCTGACGCGCATTCCTGCAACAGAACGACGCCTCCCTCGCTCTTTCTCTCTCTCTCTCTCCATCTCTCTCCCTGTCATGTGCGCTTTGAAAACCGCCACATGAACACAAAAACGCTAGCAGAATGTGGATAATTTGGTTTCGATGCAGGTTTTTTTTCCTTTCGCCTTTAAAAACAAACATCCTTTTGAATAGGAGAGCAAGTGACCCGAGACCTCTCAAACACAAATTCTAGTCATTAATATAATTTGATGCGAACGCTATAAATGCGTCGCATTAAATATGTTCCTATTAGCCCGAGGAAAAAAATGTCAAAGTCACAAGTAGGCATTCCTACACAAAGCAAGCAATCTTTTTGAGACCATGGCAATCATTTGCTCCAAGACTAAGAAAATATTACTAATCCGTATGTCGGCTGTTCATAGCGCTTATAAGGGGACTACCTGCTGCTCAAACTGTTGCTTTTGGCCTCTGGCAGGTTGGTTGATATTTGGACCCCAATTTCGAGAGTCAACAACACAAAAACCACCTGCAGACATTCAAGACCCATTTAAGCATCCCTATAAGTGTTTAATTTCACATCCCAGTTAAGGAAATTTTCAAAAAAGTAGACAGAATAAGAGCCAACGGAAAACAAGTAATGTGAGAAAAGTAATTTTACAAAATGAGCATCTGTGGTTGGAGAGGAATGGCCAATAAACTTTGCCAAAATTTTTAACGAAAATATTGGACGCCGCAACAGTTACGCCGTGGAATACAGCCAAAATCCTCTCCTTAAGACACTGGATACTGCAAAAATCTGCACCTCGTTAAATTTACTCGAGTCGGTTGAAGGAAGGGTTCCAGGTTTATAGGCATTTTGGCCTCCTTCGTGAGCACTAACACGGGGTTTCCACTAAACCCACCTATAACCCGTGAAACTTTGTAGTAAACCATCAATTGTTGCGAAAATATACACAACACGTTTGCATCCTGTCAGATAGTCCAAGTACATCGTTAGAACCAAATTGAGAGCCCATATCCTATCAAACTACTTGGTAAAGTCATTCAACAAAGTTTAACAACGGTTTTAAGGACCTTCTTGTCTTTTGCTAACTGCGTACCATTCAGTATTTTCAAATTACATACGTTTTGTCGAAGTTCAAGCAGGTCTTAAAAAGACTTCACAAGTATGTAAACAAAAGTTGGTAGAAATGCGCTCGATCCTTACAAAACGATTTAAAAATTGACGTATAACAAATAGGTTTACATAAAATTCAGACTTCTTAATTATTGACGAAGGTCATTCTCATTTTTGTTAGAAAAAGGTCTTTGCTGAAACTAATTTTAGCTTTAGTCAGCATGCGTTACTTGTACTGGATTGGTGAGGCGTTTGAAGCACTGATACTTGGCGCATTCATTAGCCAAACTTAAAACAAACACGAAAAAACCTGGTTATGAATTTTGAGAATCTTGACAAAGGCAATGAAGAATGCAAACTATGGATATAATAAGAGAACGACAGGATTGGTTCTAAAATCCAAGTTTCAGCGTTCTGCTTATTTAATTTCGTCTCCAAGGCAGCAGGTGGTACGACAAATTTTATGTCCAAGAAATGATCCCCTCACGTCATGGCCTTGTCAATGGCGTTTATGTTCGAAATCGTGTGTGGACCAGAAATTTGTGCAGGCTCATCCCTCAAATGCACGATGCTAGCTGAAAGTGAAGTGGTCAGACATCAAGTGAATGTGTCTGTTGACAGGTCCAAATTTTGGTTCATCCTGTATGCTAAAAAATGCTTTTTCTTGTCTCCACCTCAGTCCAAATTTTTGCAACAATGCAAGTGCAGGGACACATTCATTCTTGTAATCCTTCTTCAAACACAACACAGCAGTATGATATAAATGTTTTTTTTTCGCTCAGATGAGACAAGAAGATTTTCAAACGAAGGCACAATATTTCTTACATTCACAAGAAAAACTCTTTCTATTGCTTGTCATGAATTTTTGGTAGCGAATATGCAGCAACAGTTGAGCAGCTATTCCAAAGATGAGGTTAAAAAACAAACTCAAAATGCTTTAAACACAGGATGCTGGAATGCGCTTGTCATGCCATCTTTTCAGAAATTTCGGCTTACTTCATACCAAGGCATGGAGCAGCAGAGCTTGGTCATCAACCTCTTCCAAGCTCATTTATTGTTCTGTCAACAAATTACGACTACATGCTGGGAGGTTTCTGGTTTATGCTTCCAATGTCCAAGTGTTGAGTCAGACCAGGGGATGTTTTATTTTATGCGTAATGAGGTCACTGTTTGCTCGTTAAATGCAAAAGTTCATCACCTCCTCAAAGCAATTGACAAGACCGTCTTTAAAAAGTTGAACGTAGCATAATTAGGCGATTTCTTTGCCTACCCAAAGGAACACAAAACGATTCGAGTAATCTAATGCGGCATGGCATTTATCGAGACTCCAGACTACGGACCTCATCTCAACAACTCACCGTTGTTTTAATGCACTCGCTTTTAACCATGTAATAAAAATTACTGAAATGTTTGAATTTGTTGGTAGTCTATTTGTCGCTGTGGAGGAGGGGTTGGGAGGTGGAGTCATTTTTATCATGCAAACGAATCAGCTGTTTAACTTCGATGTTTTAGTTACCACAAAAACTCGAAAACGTTATTTACAGAAGCAGCGACTTCAGCAGCCATGGTGCTCGCGATTCCCCTGGGAATTTAGTCGTTCTTGCCAGGCCGGATCCCAACCCCTCTCTTAGCTGCTGTTGTTGATGTTGTTGTTGTTGTTATAGGAAATAGCGATAACTGCGCAGAGTGAATTCCGTTGTTTTAAAAACTCTCATGACCCACTTAGCTGCTTTCCAGTTAAAATAAATCTTGTCTCTTTCTAATAAATTGCACTCCATCTGCCCAGGCAACTTATCACATCATCCAAAATGCTTTTGACAGTGGTAGTGGTGATTGCTGGCATTCTATTTCCTGCTCAGGGCAGGTTAAGTCTGGAAGTGTCTATACGAACCGGTGGAGAGGTGACACGTTTCACGTCTTGACGTTAAAAGTGGTAGTTTTGCAAAAAACTACAGCGAGCTCGTGTAGGGGTCTCTAATTTGTGCCTCATTTGACCCCCCTCTCCCCTCCAGTAAATGAATGATGCACGAGCGGTAAAGTCAGTGACTCATTAATAATGCCTTAGGAGAATTTGTACAAAATCTCCCAGTCCTGAATTATAACTTCAAATTAAGCTCGGTTTATGATTAGAAAGCTTTCAAAAAATGCTTATTAACTCACCTCCTATGGCCTCTTTAACAACCGCTGCATGCGAAGAAGCTGTAAGAAGATGAAAAGGTAAATTTGCTTATATTTTTGCATCTCTTACTCCCTTCATGCGCCGCTCAACTTAATTCTAGTTACAAATGCCGACTGTGGAATGAAACAACAAATCTAACAAGCACCCGTCTGCTCCCAAAAGCCTTACTATTGTAGCCAAATTCTGGCGCATTTAAACATGAATAGCAAGACCCATTCAACTCCTTGCTCGTGACTATTTTTACCCAAACTACTGAAGTGACAGTTTGACAATTTTTCCCAATATCATCTACGATATTTTCTTAAATTTTTCGAAGCGAAATTCTAATGCTTAAAGCGTTGCACCTATGCATTGGTGACGCGACGCTCGCATCCACCCGTGATTTATTTGAAGATCTTTTCAAAAGAGGTAGTTTATAAGAAAAGCTGCTCCTTTTTATCAGTAGACTTTCTCTAAGTGCCTGGTATTGTAAGGGCACCAGTTAAATGAAGTTTATTGAACCAGAGTGTAAGGTTGGGAAAAAGTGATGCCGCAATCTCATTTGTGAAAGTACATTAAACGCGCATTTATGCGGCAGTTTAAAGTACATACAAAGTTCTCTTCATGTAGATGCTGCTGTACTGAATAATTAACTGATTTGGCGTGAAGAAAAACACTGAGGAAGCCTAAAGTTAGCGTCGAAATCTGGCGCCTCTTAGCAGTCCGTCTTTGCTGGAAAGTGAGAAGGTAGGTGGGTGAGGCCTAAAATGATTCGCCGTTCCATTATGTCATACCTTCATCAGTGAATTCTGGCGGGCCATACCGCATGGCTCAGGTGAATGACGAAAATTCCAGCGCCATTGCATAAGCTCGCATCGTCTGGGTGCCTTTGTGACCATTCGAACAAAAGACGTGTGAGTGGGTGAGTCTAAGTATAACAGAACATTTTCCGCCCTCACATGACCGCCGCATTCTGTCACCCATCCATCATGTAAGATCAGACAGGGTTGAAAGCAAGGTCGGTTTGTTGTCAGCATGTGTAGTTTTGTCATAGCGTGCGCACGTAATCTCCAAACTGCACAGGGTTCTGGTGCGTCAAGTTGTGAGAACTTTGGGCTCTATTCACTCATTCTCTCTCATATCCGCTAACTGGCCCATTTCAAATGCTGCTGCTGTTACTTCGAGTGTTGCTTATGTTATTGAGACTGTGTGGAAAAAGCGCAAACGGACCGAGTCAGGCAGGCAGGCAGGCGGACAGGCAGTCATTCAGCCGGTTAGTTCGTTCGCTTGCATGCTTGCTTGCTTGTTAGTCACGCTGAGTGAGAGGGAGAAGGGCATATAAGCACCAGGCTGGCAGACCAACCAACTAGTGATAAGTCCTCTAAAAGATAGTGGCAATGAGACTGGGTTTGAAGAGGCACACACATTTCCAGCCGTCTGGAATGAGGCCACGACGATGCTAAGAGCGAGGAAGAAGGACGCTAAGAACTGATGCTGCTGTGAGCAAAAGAGGCGTCACAAGTGACCCCACATAATTAACGACCTAATTAAAAGCTTCAATCAGTGCAACGAGTGTTGTCTAAGAATACTCCTTAAAGTTGTTTTAAGTTTGAGAGGAAATAGAACAGTCTTCTTACTTTACTTGCTGTTTCGGGTCCAATCCTAGCTTGTGAGCTCACTTTGAATGGTTTAGACCTTCACAATCCAGACTGTAGCAGCTACCTCTGAATTGTCCT